CGTTTGATTTTTTTCTTTGTCTTCATGATTCCATAATTTTTATATAATTAATATGACAGCTTTACAATATGAATATTCTAAAACCCCAGGTTGTACTGAAAAAAACAAAGTATACTGCTTGACTCTGCATCAAAAGATGACTGTTTTATGAACAATTATACACAACGAAAACCAGGCGAGGAAAGTTCCCCAAAATGACCCATGTGCATAGAGGGTTAAACTAAATAGTACACACATAGTACAATAGTACAATACATTACTTAACACTATGACAAGTTGAACAAATGTTTTCAAAGCAGGATATTTGAAACAAACAGCGATATATCACCAGCACGAGCTGGGTGCACTTGCGCAGTCCACTGTGAGGGAGCGAGCGATCTGGAGTGAGGCAGGAGCTCTACCTCGTCTGTATGAATAGGAAAAATAGGATTTCAGCGATTTTGACTCCTAAAATGATCAAAACTGGTCGGAACAATGTCAAAAATACATTAAAAGCATTGGACAATGGAAAACAATTATATATTACTTTCAATGATGGTTGTATTGTAATGTAATGTGAAACAATGACATTTCCACTGACTGAGTTTATTTTATTTTATTTTATTCTCATCTCAATTGTATTGTCTATTATCTTAAATAAGACTTATTTGATGTGTGCAATCTAAGTGCTCTTATTTCCTTCTTTCTCTGCTGTAATGTGCGCAACGATGACACTGAAATTTCTCCACTGTGAGACGAATAAAGGTTCATCTTATCTTATCTAATAGTCTGAAATAAAGTGATGAAAACCTGTGGGTAACTAGCTTCTCCGGTGCTAGTCATCTCACTTCTTGTAGAAAAAAATCGACTCTCGGCTCAAAAAGTCAAATAATTACTCACAGGGCCCTTTTCTGGATGCCAAATCACTGTCATTACCACTGTCATGACAGAGCGGCCGCAGCTGCCCGGGGTCAGAACGCTGAAGGACGATGTGAATCCCGTTGGAGTACATACAGCTAACAAAAGCAGGTGCCCGCGGTCACGTGCCGCCTGGATTTGACACATTTCACAAAAATGACATATTCAGCGGGAAAGAGTCGGAAAATCTCGTCCCTGGTCCTGAGCAGGTCTCAGCCTGGTCACATCCAAAAACCTTCCCCACACCGTTCACACATTTTTACATCTGTATATTTTGCAATAAACGGGATAGCCATGAAAACCAAACAATTATAAACTCATGTACAACGAAATTTACCGTTCAAATACTCATGTGCAGCTTACGCATTCGCCTAACAACTTAAAGACGAATGCAGTTTTATTGTATGGCTCCAGGAGCGACAGGTATGTCGAATTCGGACGCAGTCAATGCTAGGCTAAAATGCTAGCAGATTAAGCCTGATTTAACTGTTACGGACATAATCTTTGCCAAACGCTTGCTTTCCCAACACTCACCTGCCATGTTCGCCATGTAGCAATGACAGCTTTCGCCCTGGAACTCACGAAGAACCACTTTAGCCACTAACTTTAGCCACTAACTTTAGCCACCGCGGCTAAAGAGCTGCAAGCTCCAGCCACATGCTAGCTCGATCCCGGGAGGTTACGCCAGTGTTTCGGTCTTTCTGAAACAAAAACAGCAGTTAACCTCCGTGAGTTTTGTAAATTCGCCTCTTGCATTGTGTTATGTCGTATCCGTGTGTTCGGTGAATTATCACGGAGCATTTAGAGCAGAATGTACCGTAGTAATCCGCCATTTGGCGCCTGCTCGAAGCTTCTGTCCAAAGTCACCGTGGAGCCAGGAAGGGCATCAAATGACGTCCAGGGTTTTCTTAACCTCCTGTAAACTGTCTATTTCAAGCCTTCAATATGGCTGAATTGAATTGATAAATACAATACTAGAACAAATAATGGCAAATATTATTAACAGTCCTAAAAGAGTAAAATTCTGCTGAACAGCTTTTGAACCGGGGCTTTTTTCAAACTAGCTCCCTCTCTTTTTCTAGAAAGCAATCTGCCTGTTTGGAAGAGCCCTATTGGCAAGTGTGAAATGCTGCAAAGCAGTTGCGTTCACTTTGCAAGCACAGGTACACATTGCATGTCATGCATCGGACACAGGATTTTCCAATGCAGTCTTGTGCTCTGCAACGCATGGGGTTTTTCAAGGCTACCATCTCCGGGTTAGGGTTAGGGTTACAATATCCCCAGTCGAGGTCAGCAGCTCTCCATCTGCACCATACACGGTGTTGGCAAAGAACTGCTTCCCCCTCCTGAGGCGCCGGAGGGTTTGCCAGAACCTTTTTGAGGCCGACCGATAGTCATGCTCCATGGACTCTCCGAAGTCCTCCCAGTCCCGGGTTTTTGCCTCTGCAACAGCCCGGGCCGCGGCACGCTTGGCCTGCAGGTACTGGACAGCTGCCTCAGGAGTCCCACGAACCATCATTGCTCGATAGGACTCCTTCTTCAGCCTGACGGCATCCCTTACTGCCGGTGTCCACCACCGGGTTCGGGGACCAGCACCAGAGACCTTGCAACCACAGCTACGAGCCGCTTTATTGGCGATAGAGGAAGAGAACATAGGTCCACTCGGACTCAATGTCCCCCTCCTCTGGGTCCTGGGAGAAGCTCTCCCGGAGGTGTAAGTTGAAAGTCCGTCTGACAGGGGGCTCAGCGAGACGTTCCCAGCAGACCCTCACTACACGCTTGGGTCTGCCAGGTCTGACCGGCTTCCTCCCCTGCCAGCGGATCCAACTCACGACCAGGTGATGATCGGTTGACAGCTCCGCCCCTCTCTTCACCCGAGTGTCCGAGACAAGCGGTCGAAGGTCAGATGATACGACAACAAAGTCGATCATTGACCTCCGGTCTAGGGTGTCCTGGTGCCACGTGCACTGGTGGACACCCTTGTGCTCGAACATGGTGTTCGTGATGGACAGACCGTGACTGGCACAGAAGTCCAACAACTGAACACCGCTTGGGTTCAGATCAGGGGGGGCCGTTCTTCCCGATCACCCCTCTCCAAGTGTCACTGGCATTTCCCACATGGGCGTTGAAGTCCCCCAGGAGAATAACAGAGTCCCCGGGCGGTGCACTGACCAGTACCCCTCCCAAGGACTCCAAGAAGGCCGGTACTCGGCACTGCCGTTAGGCCCATAGGCCGTCACAATGAGAGACTTGTCCCCCACCCGGAGGCGGAGGGACGCGACCCTCTCATTCACGGGGAGAACTCCAACACGTGGCGGCTGAGATGGGGGGCAATGAGTATGGCCACCTCAGCTCGCCGCCTCTCCCCGCGGGAAACTCCAGAAGCTGACTGACAAGTATGAGATGATGATGCAATCATCCCCATCTGAGAAGTCATAGAGGACTTCTCAGAGTTGTCTGCAATTGCCAACAGCAATTGTTCTGCTCTTGATAATGAAAGTGTGCCTGTAATGATAATTTTAAAAACCAACATCAAAATCTACAGTATATCAGTGACACATCATAGCTTGGCTATCATGTGCTAGCTATAGCCTAGCTATAATGTTTATGATTAAGCATTTAGCAACACTTCACAATACTTAGCATATACCACTTAGTACTTAAATATACTATTTACAACTGTAAACCACATAACTGAGCAAATGTGTGATTCAAAATAACTATTTACAACTGTAACTTCATCTAAATCTTCCACACGGTTAGCTAAACAGATAGCGGTACATAGTCCTAGCGTCCTCAAACGAGTGCTTCACTTTTACTGACATCCTAGCCTGCTACTACAATCAAAATTTTTCAAATTTCAAACTCCATATGAAGCTAGAGACATTATTGTGCATAAATAAATTGATTTCATTCATAAAATGTTGATAGAATTTTTACCTGGGGCATTTTTCTTCTGTAAACTCTTGTAGAAGTGTTTTGCTGATATTCCCGCCATTTCTTTCCTACTGCCTTAAGTGTAATTCTATCATATCACCACAAGATGGCGCGGGCAGTGTCCCTAAATGTGGCCATCAGGTCAAGGATGTAAAAAATTGAGTATCATTGTGCCAAGAGGCAAAAATGTAATGTCCTCGTATGAGGTCGCAGGGTCTCAGGAGGTTAAAGCAGCATTATTTTACTTCTTTGTGTGAATTTAGAAAGACAATGCAATATAAAACTAAATCAGACCGCAATGTCATATTTTTGGAAAAAATAATGATTGTGCATACATGTAAGAAAGACACTCGTGAGTCACTATTTGACTCTTAGATGGAGTTTTCTGTATGTATAAAAACAAAAAAACAAACAGAAGAAAATTTGACTCTAATTGAAAATTGATACTCAAAGTAACAGTTTAAAAAAACATGTGTCTCCATAGAATGTTATCATTTTTTTTAATGGACAGTTTTCTATTTTAGTATTTAGAAAAACAGGGCTATTAATCGCACGATTCGCACCTCTGTATAAACAGCACCTGCTACAGTTTAAAAGTAATGGATTGTAACCATGGATCTATCACAGAGTTTAGACTAGTTTAGAGACTTGTCTTGGACTTGTGAGTCAGGGGTTGACCGCTGTTTGAACTGAACACAACATGATTTAATGAGGTTTTTTAACTGTTGATTCATAACAAAGTAAAGGTTGATAAACAATAAAATCTGAGGATACAAACATTAGCTCAGATTAGCATGTTTACTTCCTGGCCTTGCTTAACCTGGCCAGTTGTAAAGTCTCTGCTCTGACAGCAGCCCAACTCTATCACAATAATAAAACACACGTTGGCCACAACATAATGTAAGACGCAGGGTTCAAAGAAATGAAGGAATAAAGTCTAGAGTTGAATTGAATTTGAAATGTATCAAAGACAACACATACACATGTATGTGTACACAACACGTGTAACTTTTTCCGCTTCTGTGTCCTGCAGCCTGTACTTTCTCTGAGCCTCATGAGCTGCTAATCACTGGTGCTGTTTGCTCTCAGAAGTTAAGCCTCAGATTATCAGCGCTTCTGTCTCTGCAGTAGCACCAGCACTGCTCCTCTGACATCACCTCAGCAGAATGTCCACAGGAGAGAGGACCCCGTCCACCACCTCTGTGGAGTCAGGCGCAGCCTCGGACAGGTGACTATGCAGATGTTGGAAAGAATGGGACGTTTGAGTGACATTTATTAACATTTCATCCTGCTCAAATATGTTTGTTATTATCTTATTTTTAAACTGTGTACACAACACGTGTAACTTTTTCTGCTTCTGTGTCCTGCAGCCTGTACTTTCTCTGAGCCTCATGAGCTGCTAATCACTGGTGCTGTTTGCTCTCAGAAGTTAAGCCTCAGATTATCAGCGCTTCTGTCTCTGCAGTAGCACCAGCACTGCTCCTCTGACATCACCTCAGCAGAATGTCCACAGGAGAGAGGACCCCGTCCACCACCTCTGTGGAGTCAGGCGCAGCCTCGGACAGGTGACTATGCAGATGTTGGAAAGAATGGGACGTTTGAGTGACATTTATTAACATTTCATCCTGCTCAAATATGTTTGTTATTATCTTATTTTTAAACTGTGTACACAACACGTGTAACTTTTTCCGCTTCTGTGTCCTGCAGCCTGTACTTTCTCTGAGCCTCATGAGCTGCTAATCACTGGTGCTGTTTGCTCTCAGAAGTTAAGCCTCAGATTATCAGCGCTTCTGTCTCTGCAGTAGCACCAGCACTGCTCCTCTGACATCACCTCAGCAGAATGTCCACAGGAGAGAGGACCCCGTCCACCACCTCTGTGGAGTCAGGCGCAGCCTCGGACAGGTGACTATGCAGATGTTGGAAAGAATGGGACGTTTGAGTGACATTTATTAACATTTCATCCTGCTCAAATATGTTTGTTATTATCTTATTTTTAAACTGTTTGATTCTCTGATCTCTTGTTTAGGGCGATAAACAAATACATCATGATTTGATTAGAAGAATGCACAAAACTAAATAATTGTCTCGGAATCCTTGCATATAAACTGATTCTATTGTGATGTTGTTTCATCAGAGTATTAATATATTTTTCCCAACCCTTTTATTGCATTTAGCCATTAGTTACAATATGAAAATATTCCCTTCATAGTTCAGTGTGAATGCGTGTATTTAAGATAAGATAAGATAGACTTTTTTGATCTCACACAGGAGAAATGTACTTGTCACAATTGGCTGGATAGAAACACTCAATATTGTCTAAAGAAAGAAGTGTGCAAACATGTTAAAGGCAAAAAAATATAGTCTTTTAAGGATATATTAGTGTCCATAGTAGTGCAGGTTTCAGTCCTAGTGCAAGTGACCTATTGTACAGTCTGACAGCGGTGGGGATAAAGGCCCTGCGGTAGCGGTCCTTCTTGCACTGAGGGTGTTTCAGTCTTTCACTGAGAGAGCTCCTCAGCTCCTCTACAGTCTTGTGCAGTAGGTGGGAGGTGTTGTCCAGGATGGAGGTGACCAGCACACAGCAGCGTAGTGTATGGCAGAGGCTACAGAGTCACAAATGGTTCTGAGCGGAGGCCTGCTCACTCCAAAGTACTGCAGCCTCCTCGGAAGGACCTAAGCCTTCTCAGAAGGACCTCAGCCTCCTCAGAAGGGCCGCAGCCTCCTCAGAGGGTGGAGGCAACTTTGGCCCTTCTTGTACAGGGTGCTGGTATTATGGACCAGTCCAGTTTATTGTTACTGTGAACACCAAGGTACTTGAAGCTGTCCACCAGCTCAATGTCCTCCCCCTGGATGTTCAGCAGCGTGTAGGAAAGTGGTTTTCTCCTGAAGTTGATGACCATCTCATTGGTCTTACTTGGTGTTAGTACAGGTACCATCTCCTTGGTCTTACTGGTGTTAGCACAGGTACCATCTCCTTGGTCTTACTGGTGTTAGCACAGGTACCATCTCCTTGGTCTTACTGGTGTTAGCACAGGTACCATCTCCTTGGTCTTACTGGTGTTAGCACAGGTACCATCTCCTTGGTCTTACTGGTGTTAGCACAGGTACCATTTCCTTGGTCTTACTGGTGTTAGCACAGGTACCATCTCCTTGGTCTTACTGGTGTTCAAGCACAAGTGGTTGCGCTCACACCAGTCGACAAAGTCCGTGATATCCAACCAATATTCCAGTTCGTTCCCCTCAGAAACACAGTCCACAATGGCGGAGTCGTCGGAGAACTTCTGCAGGTGACAGCTGTGTGTGTCTCATGTGAAGTGTAGATGGTGAAGAGAAACGGTGAGAGGACAGTGCCCTGAGGGGCCCCGGTACTGCAGACTACCACCGCTGCCGCACCAGCCGCACGTACTGTGGTCGGTCCAAGAGGTAGTTGATGGTCCATGCAGTGAGGTTGAGGTCCACTCCCGCGTCCTCCATCTTCCCCCACTGCAGTGCCGGTCTGATGGTGTTGAAAGAACTGGAGAAGTAAAAAACATGACCCTCACAGCGCTCCCGGCGGGCTCCAGGTGGGAGAGCGTCCGCTGCAGTAAGTAGATGATAGCGTCCTCTACTCCGATGTTGGGCCTTTAGGCGAACTGCAGTGGGTCCAGTGTGGGGCTGACCACAGAGCGGAGATGGGTGAGGATGAGCCGCTCCATGGTCTTCATCAGGGGGGAGGTCGGTTCTACATGGTCTTCATTAGGTGGGAGGTCAGTGCGACTGGTCTGTAGTGAGCCGGTTCCTTGGCGCGCGCTTTTTTAGGAACCGGGATTACACAGGAGGTCCTCCACAGGACAGGGACCTTCTCCAGGCTAAGGCTCAGGTTGTACATGTAGCTGAGGACCTCAGAGAGCTGGTCTGCACAAGTCCTCAGCAGCCTGGGACTGATGCCGTCCGGTACTTCGGACAGTTCAGTTTTACTTTGTTGTCTCCGAGGGAGATTTGTCGTCTGCATTTGACCCATCCTTCATTGCTTCTGTCAGGAGCAGTAGTCGCTGCTGTGCTGTGCCCTGTTTTGTCCGGAATTCAAACCCAGGACCTTCTTGCTGAGATGCGAGAGTGCTAACCACTCAGCCACTGTGCAGCTGTTATCACCATAAACCACAACAGCAGTCATCTCTGAGGACTTTACAAAGTTATGGATTCACCAACGACAGATCAGAGAATCAAATACAGGAAATGTGATAATAACAAACACATACAGACATTGGTCCATAGGGTGTAAGACTGAGGCTGTAGACCCAGGACTGAGGCTGTAGACCCTAGGGAATTGTTGCACCTTGAGCTAAGGCCTGTGCTTGTTCATGTGTTCTGCTTTAAGTAATGCAGAGACCCCCATAGACTCACCCGCCGGCTCTGTGTCTGAGACTCCGAAGAAGAAGAAGAAGAAGAAGTCTAAGAAGAACACGGAAAGCATGAACAAAGTCTACATGTCGGTGCTCAATAGCGTCTTTGGAGCCGTGAGTGTCATCAGTTTATTACAGGCCATGCTTTTTTGCGTATGACAGTTCATACACAAAGACCCAAAGTGTTTATTAAAACAAGGACTTCAGGACAGAGACCTGAGACCATGGACTAATGTGAGAGGACTTCAGGACAGAGACCTGAGACCAGGACTAATGTGAGAGGACTTCAGGACAGAGACCTGAGACCAGGACTAACATGAGAGGACTTCAGGACAGAGACCTGAGACCAGGACTAATGTGAGAGGACTTCAGGACAGAGACCTGAGACCAGGACAGAGACCTGAGACCAGGTCAGAGACCTGTGTTACAGTAGTCTAACATACAGCAGTGCTCAGTCTCCTGATTCTGATGTAAAAGTTGCAGTTTTACTGATGTGGTTTAAAAGAGTCCAGTTTTACTCCCAGATTTCTGACCTGGTTTGGAGGTTTTAGGGAGAGGCTGGAGGTGACTATTGAGCACTTCTAAAACAGCTACAGCTTAAATAGAGCCCATGTTGTCCACATGTGTTGTGATATACCCATTCACCAACAGCTGATGGAGACAAAGCAGACGACAGTTTGAACTGGACTCAACAGGATTTGATGATGAGGAGTTTTAACTCTCAACTCTGAGGTGCAAAGCACTGTGGGTATACAGTCTGTTTTGACAATAAAACTAACACTGGAGTCAAAATAATCCATAAACTCTGTTCACATAAACACACTGAAGCAGGAATGTGTGCTGCAAAAGAGATCAACAGCTGATAGAGCTGTGTTGCTAACAAAATAATACTAACAAACTCAAAAAACTATAAAAACATTCTCTTAGCTGCTGGTCCTGGTCCTGTAGTGGCAACCAAAGGGCAGAAGTTCAAACTCTAACTACACCCACGAGCACCACTCCTGTGTCCATGTTTCATCTCTGATACAGAGTCGATTCGGCAGCGTTGCCATGTGACTCACACAGAGCAAAATATTGTCTGTCTTTCACAACATTGTTTTTACTCCAGAACACTGCCCTCTGGTGTCCAGTCGCTGTAGTGTCTCATGACCTTCTCTCCCGGACGTCAGGAAAGCACCTCTAATCCCAGCAGGCTTACTGCCACTCTGCATTACATTTATCCACTAAGACTGAGGCTGTAGACGCAGGACTGAGGCTGTAGACCCAAGACTGATGCTGTAGACCCAAGACTGAGGCTGTAGTCCCGGGACTGAGGCTGTAGACCCGGGACTGAGACCGTAGTCCCGGGACTGAGGCCGTAGACCCAGAACTGAGGCCGGAGACCCAGAACTGAGGCCGGAGACCCAGAACTGAGGCCGTAGACCCAGAACTGAGGCCGTAGACCCAGAACTGAGGCCGTAGACCCAGAACTGAGGCCGTAGACCCAGAACTGAGGCCGTAGACCCAGAACTGAGGCCGTAGACCCAGGACTGAGGCTGAGTAGACGTCTAATCCCTCCTCTTTGTGTTTAAAGGAGCGGGAGCTGGCTCAGGCGGAGCTCGACGGTAACCCCTCTATGTTCTCTTCCTACAGTCTGACAGTAGCAGTAATCTTCCTACAGTCTGACAGTACTCTTCCTACAGTCTGACTGTACTCTTACTACCGTCTGACTGTATTCTTCCTACAGTCTGACTGTACTCTTACTACCTTCTGACTGTACTCTTACTAACGTCTGACTGTACTCTTACTACCGTCTGACTGTACTCTTCCTACAGTCTGACTGTACTCTTACTACACTGTGCCCTTCAGAGCTGCAGGAGGCCTTCAAAGAGTTCGACTATGACCAGGATGGATACCTGAACTACAAGGACGTGGCCGAGTGCATGAGGACCATGGGCTACATGCCCACAGAGATGGAGCTGCTGGAGATAGTGCAGCAGATCAAGATGAGGAGTCAGTCCACACACTGCTGGTCTCTCTCTGGTCTCTCTCTGGCCTCTCTCGGGTCTCTCTCTGTTCTCACTGGTCTCACTGATCTCTCTGGTCTCTAGTCTCACTGGTCTCTGGTCTCACTGGTCTCTAGTCTCACTGGTCTCTGGTCTCTCTCCAGTGGGGGGTCTGATGGACTTTGAGGACTTCGTGGAGCTGATGGGGCCTCGGATGATGGGGGAGACGGCCGACATGCTGGGCCTCAAGGAGCTGCAGTCTGCGTTTGTGCAGGTCACACATCCACACATCTAAGAGACCAGAGAGTGAGACCAGAGAGAGTGAGACCAGAGAGAGTGAGACCAGAGAGAGTGAGACCAGAGAGAGTGAGACCAGAGAGAGAGAGACCAGAGAGAGAGAGACCAGAGAGAGAGAGACCAGAGGAAGACCAGAGACTAGAGAGAGACCAGAGAGAGGCCAGAGAGAGAGGCCAGAGAGAGAGGCCAGAGAGAGAGACCAGAGAGAGACATGAGAGAGAGACATGAGAGAGAGACATGAGAGAGAGACATGAGAGACCCGAGAGAGAGACCCGAGAGAGAGACCCGAGAGAGAGACCCGAGAGAGAGACCCGAGAGAGAGACCCGAGAGATTCTAAGTTCTTCTTACCACTTCTGAGTGGTAAGATTCTGAGAGCTCCTCAGACTCCACTTTCTGAGCTGTTCACTGGTCAGGTGACAAGGAGGGCTCTGAGGATTCTGGGTAATGAGGCTCACCCTCTTCATGAAGAGTTTAGTTACCTGCCGTCTGGTTCCAGACTCAGAACTTCAATGATTCGGAGAAATAGATATAAACACTCTTTCGTACCTGCAGCGATCTCTACACTAAACTCAAACCAGAGACAGAGGAAATAGGGGTTGAAATTTTTGCTTGGGGCGACAGTTTTTGTCTTCTTTTTTATCCTGTTTTTAAACTGCCATTGACCTGACAGGAAGACTGTATATGGACACCTTGTTAGTCTGAATGTATGGGGAAAATGTTTATTCTATGTCTTTTTCTTTGTATGTGTCCCTGTGCTGTGAACCAAATTGCCCCATCGGGGACATGAAATAAAGTGAAGTGAAGTGAAGTGAGAGAGGGACCCGAGAGAGACACCAGAGAGAGAGACCAGAGAGCAGTTCTATGGTGTTGTTGGAGTAGAGCCGTGTTACAGTGAGAGACCAGTGTGTAATAGCAGACTTCTGATGTTAGCATGGCTGGAGCTAAACACAAGGTCAGGTCGTAGATGCTGTGACTGCTGTTTTCCCAGATGGACCTGGATGGAGACGGGAACATCACACAGGACGAGATGAAGGAGGCGGTGAAGAACCTGCTGGGGGAGAAGCTGAAGAAGGGGGAGCTAGAGGAGGTCCTCAAGGAGCTGGACGTCAACGCAGACGGAGCCATCGACTTTGAAGGTCACTGCACACACTATAGAGTCTGAGTCTCAGTCTTACTGATGGACACAGGAAATGTTATGTATTTGGATTTGGTGTCTCTCTGGTGTCTCTCTAGTCTCTCTCTCTGGTCTCTCTTTCTGGTCTCTCTCTGGTCTGAGTTTTGGTCTGTGTGTGTGCAGAGTTCGTCATGATGCTGTCCATTCGCTGATTCCGTCACATGAGCCTCAAAGTGTGAGGTCCTGCTGTGAACAATGGTGAACTTTGAACCTGCAACCTCTGACCTGTCGCCCAATCTCACTTTTGCACTTTACTTTAGAACCACATCCTTTGTTGTAAATAAAGTGTGTTTTAGAAACTGACACATGTGTTTCTGTACATGACCCAGGATTGTGGCTGTAGATCCAGGACTGAGGCTGTAGACCCAGGACTGGCGCTGTAGACCCAGGACTACAAAAATATCAGAATCAAGCAGACAGTTTCCGGTGAGTTTATTAAATGGCATCATGGCAAAAGTGAAATAAACTAAAGTCAGTTAAAGTTAAAGTAATAAATAACCTGCAGACGTCTCTTTTAAACTAATAAAAACTCATGTAAACAAACCAAGAAGAGAAAGTTGCTGTTGTCTATTTGCTTCTTTAATCTCCCTCAGACTTTCTTTAAACTCTAAATGTTTCTCTTTCACACAAACTTCAAACACACTTTCTCTGAGCAGTGGTTCTCAAACTGTGGTCCGCTGATGATGATGAGCATTGTTGCAGACCTGCAGTCGTGTTCAGCTCTATCCACGCTCAGGCCCCGCCCTTTCTGTCCACTCGCTCCGCTTCTAAACTCACTGTGACATCCTGGACTCAGAGCACGTCTGAACTTTTGTTTTAATGTTTACTTTGTTGTTGGTTGTCAGGCCTTGAAACGGTGCAAATACAACTATTATTTAAAAAAGGTGGTCAAACCCAAAGGATATGGGTCTGGGTCTCTGTGGTCTCTGTGGTCTCAGTGGTCTCTGTGGTCTCTGTGGTCTCTGTGGTCTCTGTGGTCTCTGTGGTCTCCGTGGTCTCTGTGGTCTCTGTGGTCCCTGGTCTGTGGTCAGGAGCTGGGCCTGGTCTGTGGTCCCTGGTCTGTGGTCAGGAGCTGAGCTGCTGGCTGATGTCGGCCATGATGTCGTGGACCCAGACGTCGCGGTCCTCCTGAGACGTGTCCACCAGGAACACAGTGAGTCTGCGCTCCCAGGGGCCTCCAGGGGCCTCCTGCACGCCCTCCAGCTGAGCCACCAGGGCCTTCTTCTCCACATGGTTGCGGAACACCATGGAGGCCTCCTCAGACCAGTGCTGCTGCTTCACCCCTGAAAGAGAGACAGGTCAGAGCCACAGATGGACACTCAGGGTCTGTGATGTCACATGACCCTGAAGACAAACCAGGGACCAGTGCTTTAACCTGATGTTGAACTACTTCTTTGTTTTCATACTAAGAAAAACAATTGAAATGTTCCTCAGCTCACGTGTAAGTCTAAGGTGGTCTCTCTGTGGTCTCTCTGTGGTCCCTCTGAGGTCTCTCTGTGGTCTCTCTATGGTCTCTCTGAGGCCTCTCTGTGGTCTCTCTGAGGTCTCTCTGTGGTCTCTCTGAGGCCTCTCTGTGGTCTCTCTGAGGCCTCTCTGTGGTCTCTCTGTGGTCCCTCTCGTCTCTGATGGCTCTGTGGTCTCTCTGTGGTCCCTCTGGTCTCTCTGTGGTCTCTTTGTGGTCCCTCTGGTCTCCCTGTGGTCTCTGTGGTCTCTCTGTGGTCTCTGTGGTCTCTGACCTGCCAGCTGGGCGGTCAGGGCCTGAAAGGGCAGTCTCCTGAAGTCCTGCACCAGAGGCTGGAGCTGTGACGCAAGGACCAGCTCCAGTCTGCCATAGTCCACCTGGTACACGGACACCAGGCCGTTAGACAGCAGCCCCTTCACCAGCACACGGTACCAGCTGCAACACACGTCACATGATCAAACCAGCTGCAACACACGCCACCAGAAAGAGACCAGAGGGAGACCACAGAGAGAGCAGAGGGAGAGACTAGAAAGAGACCAGAGGGAGACCCAGAGAGAGAGTAGAGAGACCAGAGAAAGAGAGACTAGAGAGAAACCAGAGAGAGACCAGAGAGAGAGACCAGAGAGAGAGACTAGAGAGAGACCAGAGAGAGCAGAGGGAGAGACTAGAAAGAGACCAGAGTGAGAGTAGAGAGACCAGAGAAAGAGAGACCAGAAAGAGACCAGAGAGAGAGAGCAGAAAGAAATAAGAAATAAGGGGAGAGGGGGAATAGGAGGAGGAGAGAGGGAGAGTAGGAGGAGGAGAGTGGGGGAGTGGAGGGAGCATGGAGCCGTACCTGTGGTCCACTTTGGCAGCGCAGAGCAGACCCTTGTGGAGCCGGGTGCTCTGCCTCTGGCCCCTGTTGTAGTAGAGGACCATCTCCCCCATCAGGACTCCCAGCTGGTACAGGCTCCTCCAGGGCTGCAGCACGAAGTGACCAGGGTGAGACGCCACGGACACATACACATCCAGGTTCTGCCCTGAGACCAGGTGAGACCAGCACCAGGCACACGTTAGATGTACACTGACCAGAGAGAGACGAGAGAGAGACTTGAGAGAGACCAGATAGAGACCAGAGAGGACTTTAAATTAAAATAGCTGTCATGAGGGACCAGTGTATGTGTCTGTAGATCAAATGTAATAAAAGTAGAGAGGAGTATTAGGGTGGAGAGTACCTATGACCCAGTCCTTGTACCTGGTAACGGCAGCTCAATCATTGGGGGCAGGCTGTCCGGGGGGTCCGGCCCGTCAGGAGGGGGGGGGGAGGTCTCTGTGGGGGCACACAATCTGAGAGGGGGCTTCCCTTTAGCAGCAGCTCCCTCTGGGGAGGTGGGGGTCTTTGGTGCAGCAGCAGGAGGCTGCTTCGACCTGTGGACCATAGTGTCTGTGAGAGACCAGAGAGAGACCAAAGAGACACCAGAGAGAGAGACTAGAGAGAGACCTGTGGCTGGTCAGGATGACGTCTGGCTGCTGCTGGAAGAGTGGGGAGAGCGCCATCTGGTGGTTGAGGCTGAGCGTGGCGTCGTGGAAGTTCTTGTCAGCGAACAGGTGGATGTGGACGCAGCCCTTTGAGTCGTCCACTCTGACCACCTGCACAGGAGCAGGAGACACTGTCCTCAAGTCCTCATGGCTCTGACAAACACACGTGACAGGACCAGACCTTCACACTGCAGTCGCTGAGGTGCAGCACTCGCTCCCGGAGCCACTGCACGGCCTCAGGGGCCCACGACCGGACTCCCAACTCCGCCAGGCAGCACTTCACCGCCTGCACACATTATACTCAAGATCTACATTCCTGGGTCTACAGCCTCAGTCTTGGTTCAGTTCAGTGATAATGACTTTGATCACAGCAGTAGCAGCACATTCTGAGAATGGCAGAGTCATCAGTGAGTGTGCTGGTACCTGAGTGCTAGTACCTGTGGGAGTGTGGGGGATGGTGCACTGGTACCTGTGGGGGATGGTGTGCTGGTACCTGTGGGGGGATGGTGACCAGGTCCTTGAGGAACTTCGGAGGGATCTCTCTGAGCTCGAACACCTCCACTGAAGCCTGCACCCCCACATCCACAAACAGAACGTCCATAACTCTGGAACCATGAAGGTTGGTGACCTGAAACCATCAGAGAAACCAGCACTGTCAGAGACCAGAGGGAGACCAGAGGGAGACCAGAGGGAGACCAGAGGGAGACCAGAGGGAGAGACCAGAGGGAGACCATCTCTGCTGAAGGTGTAAGAGTCCGGTGTCAGTCCAGTGTTTTGCTGGTCCCTCACCTCCACTCTTGACCAGCGGCCTTTGTACCGGGCCAGGCAGACTTTCCCACAGAAGGGCAACGACACCAGGCTCTCCGAGGTCACCTGGACACATCACTGCTTTAAAGAGACCAGAGGGAGACCAGAGAGAGAGACCAGAGAGAGACCAGAAGGAGACCAGAGAGACAGACCAGAGAGAGAGAGACACACACACATGCGTTTTCCACATTGCACCAGAGGATGGCAGTATGGCAAAGACCACAGATGGATAGTTGCTGGTGCTAAATCTGGTGCAGCCATGTTTTTAAAGTAACTGCATATTGTCCTTAAGTATACCTGTGTTGTGTGTACCTGTCTCGTGTGTACCTGTGTCATGTGTACCTGTCTCGTGTGTACCTGTGTCATGTGTACCTGTGTTCATAGCTGGTGTTTACTCATTGAGTCAAACGCACAACATGTTGCAAACAGATTAGTCTTAGTCTGGATTATGGCCCTAATCTCCCTCTGTCCATGAGTGCACGACCAGGAGGACTATGGGAGGACTATGGGAGGACTATGGGAGGACTATGGGAGGACTATGGGAGGACTATGGGAGGACTAAGGGAGGCCTAAGGGAGGACTAAGGGAGGACTAAGGGAGGACTAAGGGAGGACTAAGGGAGGACTAAGGGAGGACTAAGGGAGGACTATGGGAGGACTAAGGGAGGACTATTGAAGGATCAAAGAAGGACTATTGAGTGGTAGACCCTGGGGCCCATGTGATTGGAAGTATGTGTTGATGGTTTCTCACCTGTGATTGGATGTAGGTGTGGGGGGTTTCTCACCTGTGATTGGATGTAGGTGTGGGGGGTTTCTCACCTGTGATTGGAAGTATGTGTTGGGGGTTTCTCACCTGTGATTGGATGTAGGTGTGGGGGGTTTCTCACCTGTGATTGGATGTAGGTGTGGGGGGTTTCTCACCTGTGATTGGAAGTATGTGTTGGGGGTTTCTCACCTGTGATTGGAAGTATGTGTTGATGGTATCCAGCGTCCCCCGCAGCTGGTGCAGACCTCTGGATGGAAGCTGACAGAAGAGGCTCCCGTCTGAACACACACTGCTCACTACTGCCCCCATGTACACACTGTGCACCTGCAGGCAAGGTTATGTATGTAACACAGGTACACACAAGGTTATTTATGAAGCACAGGTACACACATGGTTATTTATGTAGCACAGGTACACAAAAGGTTATTTATGTAGCACAGGTACACACGGTTATTTACATAGCACAGGTACACACAAGGTTTTTTATGTAGCACAGGTACACAAATGGTTAATTATGTAGCACAGGTACACACAAGGTTATTTACGTAGCACAGGTACACACATGGGTATTTACGAAGCACAGGTACACACAAGGTTATTTACAATAACCTTTACACAAGGCAACTCAAACACAAAACACAAACACAAAATGCATTAACAGTTGAACTGTTTTTAACCTGGATTTGAACATCAGAGAAGAAGTTCTCTGTTTTTAGTTTTCAGGAAGACTGTTCCAGATTTTAGCATGAATCTAAAACGCTGCCTTCTCATGTTTAGTCCTGACTCTGGGAACTTTTTGATTCTGCAAAATTTTTTTTTAGAAGCTGCTGGTGTCTCTCACTGGTCTCTCTCTGGTCTCACTCTGGTCTCTCTCTCTGGTCTCACTCTGGTCTCTCTCTCTGGTCTCTCTCTCTGGTCTCTCTCTCTGGTCTCTCTCTGGTCTCTCTCTCTGGTCTCTCTCTGGTCTCTTTCTGGTCTCTCTCTGGTCTCTCTCTCTGGTCTCTCTGGTCTCTCTCTCTGGTCTCTCTCTCTGGTCTCTCTCTGGTCTCTCTGGTACCTTCAGGGGACTGGCCAGACGGGGGTCTTGCAGAGCTCTGGCACAGGCCGTGTTGATGTTGACGTCGTCGTCCTGTGAGGTGTCGTAGAGCACCACCAGGGGGCACTGTCCTTGCTCCAGGATCTCCAGCAGCAGGATCCTCCCACTGGCCAGGCTCTCCAGGGTCTTCAGCACCGCGGGGTCCCGGCAGAAGGGCTCCAGGCCTGAGACACAGGAGTGAGCGGTCTCTTCCCTGGAGGGTCTGTGTCGGACTCACCTGCCAGTCTGCACTTTGTGGCCTGGAACGGCAGCTTGAGAAACCTCTCGTTCAGATCAAATACTTTGCTTTTACTGACGACTTCTGTGAAGCCATGGTCCACATAGTACACCTGAAACAGACACCCTTTGATTAAAGCTGAGATACCTGACTTTCCTGCCACAACAAAACTGTGTTAAAACTCTATACAGCCTCAGTCATGGGTCCACAGCCTCAGTCCTGGGTCTACAGTCTCAGTCCTGGGTCTACAGCCTCGGTCCTGGATCTACAGCCTCAGTCCTGGATCCACAGCCTCAGTCCTGGGTCCGCAGCCTCAGTCCTGGGTCCGCAGCCTCAGTCCTGGGTCCACAGCCTCAGTCCTGGGTCCACAGCCGCAGTCCTGGGTCCACAGCCTCAGTCCTGGGTCCACAGCCTCAGTCCGGGGTCCACAGCCTCAGTCCTGGGTCCACAGCCTCAGTCCTGGGTCCACAGCCTCAGTCCTGGGTCTACAGCCTCAGTCCTGGGTCTCACCTTGACCTTGTCCTGCAGCAGAGCACAGACCTGAGCCCTGAGCACCTCCTCCTCCTCCTCTGCTCTCACTGCCACCAGCTCCTCCATGTGTGGACAGGAGGCCGGGGGGAGGGCAGGGCTTTGGTTTGGGCTGTAGAACCTCCTCATGTCGTCCTCCATCAGCTCCTGGGCCCTGGAGTACCCCTCGCCGATGAACCTGAGGACCACAGCACTTTATTAAACACATGCAGCCCCTGATCGACACTGTCCATTCATCCACTCATTACGTTCAGAACTATTGTACATGTTTTTAGTGGCAGGGGAACCCGGGGCACCTGGAGGAACCCTACACAGACACAGGGAGAACATGCAAACTCCACACAGAGAGGTCTGGAGGTGGCATCAATCCCAGGACCTTCTTGCTGTAAGGCACGAGCACTGACCACTCTCTTTAATGTTGTCTCACATCTCTCTATGGTTTACAGTCCTAATGGAACAGGCTCTATCCTGAGCTCCCACTGGACCAAACAGAACGTGTGTGTTACCCAGTGGGGGAGGGTCCCAGCTCAAAAGTGGCCAAAATGACGTGCGCTGACATGCTTGCAATACCACCCCGGGCCGATGGGGGTGGACCCAGAAGAAGAATTAGCCAATGCTAACATATAGCGTTAGCAGACCTCTTAAAAACGTCTTTACAGGATGGTCCAAAAGTTGGCTCTTGGCCCAAAGCTCCGTTCCACATGTGTGTCAATGCTGAGGGGAGTGATTTTTTTGGTCCACTCTAGTTTACTCGCTGTGAATTTTTGAAGTCTCTCGTTCAAATGAATGGAGCTGCGCCGGCTGACGCATGCGCAGATGCGTTTTTTCACAATTTTCTTGTGGGCGAGACCACTCGCGGCCATCTTGGATTGCTCCATGATAGGCGTGACTCTGTCCGTTTTTTATATACAGTCTATGGTGTTACCTCAAGACGACAGCGTTGGTGTCAGAGGCCTCCAGCACCAGCACCGAGGGGTACTCCTCTGTGGGGGGCAGGAGCACAGGTACCATGGTGTCTGCTCTGGTGTCTGCTCTGGTGTCTGCTCTGGTGTCTGCTCTGGTGTCTGCTCTGGTGTCTGCTCTGGTGTCTGCTCTGGTGTCTGCTCTGGTGTCTGCTCTGGTGTCTGCTCTGGTGTCTGCTCTGGTGTCTGCTCTGGTGTCTGCTCTGGTGTCTGCTCTGGTGTCTGCTCTGGTGTCTGCTCTGGTATCTGCTCTGGTGTCTGCTCTGGTGTCTGCTCTGGTGTCTGTCCTTGTGTCTGCTCTGGTGTCTGCTCTGGTGTCTGCTCTGGTGTCTGCTCTGGTGTCTGCTCTGGTGTCTGCTCTGGTGTCTGCTCTGGTATCTGCTCTGGTGTCTGCTCTGGTGTCTGCTCTGGTGTCTGCTCTGGTGTCTGTCCTTGTGTCTGCTCTGGTGTCTGCCCCGGTGTCTGCCCCGGTGTCTGCCCCAGTGCTGCTGTTTCTGCTGTTGCTGGTAGTGTTGCTGGTGCTGCTGGTGTACAGGATGGCCCTGTGGGGGGTGTCTGTCATAGGGTGGTCCACGGTGCAGATGTGTGAGAGGAGCTGCAGGTTTTCCAACACGTGTCCAGGAAGTTCCGTCTGAAACAAAGAAAAACTGCTTTAGTTCCTCTCTTTATGCCGTCAGAACAAATGCCCAAATAAGGTGGTGATGTCACACTGTGGTGATGTCACACTCTGTCAGTCCACTCCTATTATAACACTGACTTTAATCCCAGTCCCAGACCACAACAGACTCACTGTGGTCACATGATGTCCCATGATCACATGGTGTCCCATGATCACATCGTGTCACATGGTACCCACCTTGTAGGTCTCCTGGTAGAGCTTGGGCAGAGCGTGGGCCCACAGACCGTTGGGATACTTCCTCAGCAGCTCCTCCAGTCTGCTCTGTAGGTCAGGGCTAAGAGAGGGAGAGGCAGGAGGCGTGGGGGAGTTTGGGGAGGGGCGGGAGGTGGGGGAGGCACGAGAGGTGGGGGAAGCACGGGAAGTGGGGGAGGCACGGGAAGTGGGGGAGGCGCGGGAAGTGGGGGAGGCGCGGGAAGTGGGGGAGGCGCGGGAGCTGGGGGAGGCGCGGGAGGTGGGGGAGGCGCGGGAAGTGGGGGAGCGGGAAGTGGGGGAGGCGCGGGAGCTGGGGGAGGCGCGGGAGGTGGGGGAGGCACGGGAGGTGGGGGAGGCGCGGGAGGTGGGGGAGGATCTTGCAGGGGAGGGGCTTTCAGAGCTTGGGTCAGGGCTGCTCCTCTGCTCCTCCGCTGGGTACAGGAGCAGCTCCGAGGAGGTGCTACAGGTTTTCTCCACCTGCATAAAACAAAAAATCACTTTGTCAGAAACTGAAACACTGTCTGAGGCCGGCACTGGGGCCTCCTCTCTCTCCTCCTCACCTCCTCTCTCTCTCGCCTCCTCTCTGCTCCTCACCTCCTCTGTCTCCTCCTCACCTCCTCTCCTCTCTCCTCACCTACTCTCCTCCTCTCTCTTCTCCTCACCTCCTCCCCTCCTCTCAGCCTAACCCATGATGCGTTGCGCCAAAGACGCGTGTGTGGCTCTCGTGCACGCGCACAGAGGGGCTCGGCCGCACTTGTCCAATCAGAGCTGCGGAGCGGAGCCAGACGGGCAGAGTTTGTGGCACTAAAGTGTGGATTTAAAAAAACCCGAAGCATTTAAGAAGAAAAGAAGTTCAGGATGACAAGGCACACTATAATTTAATTTACTTTGAGTTCTATGGGACTTTTTTCTGGGTAGCCCGCGTGAATTCAGTCTGCACTACGCCGTGGGTGGGACAACTATAAGCTAGTAATACCCTATCCCAGGGGTCGGCAACCCGCGGCTCCGGAGCCGCATGCGGCTCTTGAGTGCTCCTGGAGTGGCTCCTGGAGCCTTTTCAAACATGTCTGAAAATGGAGTGTGAGGGCTATATTTTATTTCTAGTTTGAATGTGGTTTCAGTAGAAGGAAAAACAATCTTTACGTTTTTAAATGCTGTAAAAATGTGTATAAGTAATATTTAATTTCAACATTTCTGTCAACGTAGTGCGTCATATCCTATGACGCGCGGTCACGCGGCCCCGCCCCATGCGGCCGCTGCTGTAAACAAACCGGCGTGTGTGCATCATAGACTGTAGGTGCGCATGGATCCCAAAGCTAAAACGAGAAAGAGTCGATAACAAGACTGGACTAAGAATGACAATGAACATTTTCTTTCAGTCAATGAGGAAGGACTGCTTCATGTTTGTAATGAGAAGTTTTGTGGCAACACGAGGAACAATGACAGGCAAAACACCGTAAACGGTGATTACGTGAAGGATTCATTCATCAAAAATTCAGAGCACCTATTTTCAGACTTCAAAACCTTCTCAAAGACTGTGAAAGAAAAGGCCATTAAGGATTTTAATTCAGCTCCAGCAAACTTCAGCCTGTGACGTGATGGATATGAGCAGACAGTGGTGCAGGTATGTGACCTCTGAGCCCAAAGCAGATTTATTTTTCTGTATTTCTACAATTGCATGAAGGCAAAAAAATGGAAGTTAAACTAAAGCAGAGTCGTCACGTGTTGCGTCATTCACGACACGCGTGGTGCGACACGCTGCAGTGAAAATACACATTTGATAATCATCAATGATTATTATGTATTTGTAGCCTTTACTTTGTCATTTAGATATATAGCTAATACATCTTGCAGCCTGTGTTACCTTCATAAAAGCCTCATACAAGGCTTCAGACAGATGTTGTTTTTAGTTTTTTTTGTCAATTATGGCTCTTTGAACATTTTGGGTTCCCGACCCCTGCCCTATCCAGTTATTATTATAGATCCATGGTCCCACCTGGTCTCAGTGAGAGGGCTGTGATGTCACACACTCACGGTGCAGATGTGGCCCCATGTGTCCAGGTCCCTCAGGACGGGGGGGGGCAGCTCCTCCTTGTAGAGCTCGCTATAGATCTGTGGGAGCTTAGACACCCAGAAACCATTACTGTATCTGCTCAGGAGCTCCCGGAGACGCCTCTGCACCAGGGGGGGGCTGTAGGAGGGACCCTCAGGACCTCTGACCCCCCCAGGACCTGGGGCAGGGGAGACACACACACACACACACACACAGAGAGAGAGAGAAACACACACACACACAAAGAGACACAAAGACACACACAAACACACACACACACGCACACACACACAGACACACACACACATAGGAGGTAGTATGTTAGTCTGATCCACAGCAGTCTATTCTACTATACTTACTGTCACTTAAAGTAGCAGTATGTAATATTTGCATGTCAAGTCACCATTAAATGGCCTCCATATTTCAAAAGGCGTTATTAAATCATGCTCTTTTCGTATACATCTTTAACTGAAAACAGTAGTTCATCCGAGATATTTGAATATCAAAATTACTTTTACGACCCGTAAAAGTTGTTATTGTTTTGATTTTGATGTCCTACCCTCCGCCGTTTCGCCAATCAGGAAGTGTCATGTAAGTCCGTGATCGAGTTGCCAGAACTCTGTGCGGCTCACTAATCTCAGAGGTAAAATAACATGTGGCGCAGAACTAAATAAGGTCTTGTTATGACTCTCAAATAATTAATGACAAAATAAAGACTAAAAAGAGGATTTATATCGGGACGCTTTTGAACAATTTAGACAGCTGATGAGTTTACGTGTGATGCAAAATTTGCTGGTTTGAGTCCAGATTATTTTGCAGATTATAGCTTAATTGTAAAAGGAATCATTTAAGACCACATGTATCCCAATTAAAATAATGTTAGTCTCTTTTTGATGTGGGACTATTACATGTTGTCTAAAAAATAGGGAATAAATAAAATGTAAAGGTGATATCCTCTGGAGCAGTGTCTCCCAAAGTGGGGTCCGCGGCCCCCTGGTGGGCCGCGAGGGTACTGCAGGGGGGCCGCGGGAGGTCATAAAAAAAAAAAATATATATATATAATTATTTAATGTTAAATTTATAATGTTTTGTTTGTAATATTACAATATTTGTGTTCATTATTTGACTTGAATAATCCACTGTAATCATTTTTGTATTACAATGTTTGTAGCAGAGGCTATTTCCCCAAAATAAAATAACCAGAAGAGCCTATTCTTAGGGTGTATTCAGACCTGCACATTTGCTCCACTTTAAACGGACCAGGATTCGTTTGGAACTCTGATCCGAAGCTTTTATGCAGGTCTGAATACACACAAACGAATCCTTGTCCGGACCAAAGAACCGAACCGAGACCCACTTTTTGAGGTGGTCTCGGTCCGCTTCCAAACGAATTCTGGTCCAAGTCGAATCAGGTCTGAATACATCCGGTGTCGATCCGACACAACTCCAAGATACGTGCGCATTTTTTGGGCTTAACAAGCCGCAGACAGAAACTTTGAGGAATTAGCCACGCAGCGGCTAACTCTGATGCTAACTATGCTGCTAACGCTACACAACAACAATGAGCCGTGGGCAGACCTGGAGCAGTGAGGAGACGCTGTGCAACAGACTTATGGAGTTAGAACTGTTCACAGTATACAGTGATGTTAATGGCAGCATCTTCAAATCATTTGCATTATTAAAAGCCTGACACTGTTTGACTCACGTCTCAAAGAGCAATATTCTGCATCATGTAGTGAACTGTGTTCTTTGGTTCCTTCCTGATCCTCAGTGTCTGTTTGTCCCGTGGTTATTATAGATCCATGGTTTATCCACAATGCTGAACAGGGCCGTTATTATAATAGATCCATGTGTGGGACAGAGTTATTATCATAGATCCATGTGTGGGACAGGGCACGGAGCGCACAGTCTCCTTCGGCTTTCTCCTCACGCATTCTCTGACGCTGTTCCATATGAGCTGCTGTTGATGTTGAAGGTGGTTTTGGTCTAAAAAGGGCAAACAGAGGCAGAGCAGACATGCTGCACATACGAGCCCTCAATGTTTTCCGCCGGTTCCGGGTCTTTCCTCCGTGAGCTCTCGCTGTCCAATAGGAGCGCCGATCGTCACACGTATCAATATGTTTATATAAAAAAGTTCACTTGCAAAAAGTACAGTCTGAATACGAACCGAAGCAAAAGAAAAAAGTTTGGTCCGCTTTTGATTCGGATCAAGCAAGCGGAGCAAGGGACTTTTCAGGTCTGAATACACCCTAAATGTTGTCTTCTTGGTTATTATTTTGGGGGGCCACGCAGACCCGTCAGATTTTTAAGGGGGCCTCGGTGTTACTGAGTTTGGGAATGGCTGCTCTGGAGGAAACCCTGATGTTGATACGCTGAAGAAATATGTTCCAACATCCATTCTTCCCACTCCTATTTTGGACATCAATTGCTTTTTTATTTGGGTAATCTATAATTACATTGCTTTTATTTTGTTTTGTGTTTTTTATCTCAAATGTCCCAAAAAAAATACTAAATTAAACATTAATTCAACATTAGCATGTCTCATGGCAATGTGAATGGAGACAGAAACTGATAAAATAATTCCCTGTGTTTGCTGCTGGATTTGGTGTGAATCTGGCAACCTGAGTCAGGGAGAGTGGGAGAGGACTACAAAATATTGACTGTGACTGCAGTACCACTTTTGGCCAGATTTTTACATATTGTTCCTTTAAACAGTGTGAAGAATACTATTGACATTGTTTAAACATAGACTTGTTCAGTGCTTGTTTTATAAAAATAAGCCGTGTGTGATGATCATGTGACTCTGTGTGATACTTACACTGAGGAGAGTTCTTTGAGAGGTGAGCGTGAACCTCTCTGTGGAAGCGAGAAGGAAGACACATCCTCCTGGACACACACAGATCTACAGCCTCAGTCCTGGGTCTACAGTCTCAGTTTGACTTTCATTTTATCATAAATCATTTTATTTCATTTCCACCATGTGAGGCATTCAGATGGTTATAGTCAGAGTCAGAGATGTGCTGAGTTCAGTGTTACTGCTGTAATCCTCACAGAACAGAGGGATTAGCCTCACACACTGTCCTGCTGACCAAGCCACGGTCTGGTCTCTCTCTGGTCTCTCTCTCTGGTGTCTCTCTGGTCTGTTTCTGGTCTCTCTCTGGTCTCTCTCTGTGGGCGTCGGTGCTAGAGTCTCTCACTTGTCCCCTGGGGCGTGAGCTCTCTTCTGGGCTGAACTGTGGTGGGCCGTCCTGCCGTCTGGAGGCCCATCTCTGCCTCCCTTTCCTCCTCCTGCTCCTCCTCCTCCCCTTCCTCCGCCTGCTCCCCCTGCTCCTCCTCCTCGTCTGCTGCGATGACTCGGCTGTCTGAGAGACGTTTGAGGTTTGGCTGCACAGAAGAATCAATACACAATAAACATCCATCATTTTGTATTCACAGAAACTGTTGCATTCCAGATGTCCAACATGCTGGGTCCCTGGATCCCTGGGTCCCTAGTCCCTGGGTTCCTGGGTCCCTGGGCTCCTGGTCTCCTCCACACACACAGTATCTTCTGAGTCATGCATGAGACACATACATCAGCTTCAGGAGCAGCGTCTGAGGGAGAAGTCTGGAGCTCGGACTCTGCTCAGTGCCTCATAGGGAGAAGGGGGGGAGGAGGGGGGGAGGAGAAGGAGGAAGGGTGGAGAGAGGAGAAAGGGAGAGAGGGAATGGAGTTTAAAGTCAGAGAAAACTTGTGACTTGTGTGCATAGCAGCGATTAGTTTCAGAGGACTCTCTCTCTCTGGTCTCTCTCTGGTCTCTCTCTGGTCTCTTTCTGGTCTCTTTCTGGCCTCCCTCTGGTCTCCCTCTGGTCTCCCTCTGGCCTCCCTCTGGCCTCCCTCTGGTCTCTCTCTGGTCTCCCTATGGTCTCTCTCTGGTCTCCCTCTGGTCTCACCGTTGAGGGCCAGTGGAGCAGCCGGTTTCAGCCTCATGTTGGTGTTGATCGTCTGTGATCGTCCAAACCTCCGTGACCTGCGCTGTCGAGCCACAACCTGCGCCACGGTCCCCTTTAGAGCAGAGGGAAAGTACAACACCTACACACACACACACACACACACACAGATGTTAATGTTTCTTGTCTGGTTGTGTTCAACTCTTTGTATGGACTGTGCTATATAAACCTGCCTCTCCACTGTCGCCGCGCTCCGCCCTGACCACAGAGGGCAGTGTGTCCAGCAGAGCGCTCAGGCTGCCGTGTCCCAGCTGTCGGTGCGGTATGTGCTCTCCGGTCAGCTCCTGGAACTCACTCTGCAGACGACACGCACTCAGGCCTCTGCTCTGACTCTGCAGGATCCCACCCAGAAGCTTCTGCACCTGCTCCCGGTCCTCCATCTGAGGACACAAGAGGACACGAGAGGGACATGAGTGGGACACAAGACGACAGAGGAGACAAGAGGACAGAGGAGAAGCAGATTTAGAGCAGAATGTAACATGTGAGATCATTCCCTCTGAGCAAAGACACAGGCCGCAGCCGCCCCACTGTGGCACCTGATGTTCCCAGAGGTCTCCCATCATAGTACTAACCAGGCCCTGCCCTGCTTAACTTTATACGTCTCCCATGATAGTACTAACCAGACGCTGCCCTGCTTAACTTCATACGTCTTCCATGATAGTACTAACCAGGCCCTGCCCTGCTTAGCTTCATATGTCTCCCATCATAGTACTAACCAGGCCCTGCCCTGCTTAGCCTCAGAGGTCTGTGAGTCACTGTTTGACTGATGCTGATCTAAAGATGTGACAGAAACAGGAAACAGCTCAGTTCTGTCCCGCATGAGGCTGAGTGGACTTTGCATGTTCTCTCTGTGTCCGTGTAGGTTTTCTCCAGGTGCTCCGGTTTCCCCTGCCACTAAACTATGTACAATAGTTCAGGCACGTGCCTCACTGATTGTTTCTATCCTGCTTTGTTCAGCACTTTGTGTTGCCTCGTGAATGAACTGTGCTACAGACAAACTTACCTCGGCTACAGTTACACACATGTGTAGATCAGACCACAACAGGTTGTGTGTCTGTGTTACTTTCATAGGGTTATTACACATTATAGACTGTTAGAGTCATGCGCACAGTGGGACACACCCTCCATCATCTGTATCCAGACACACAACACACACACAATACTAACACACTAACACTAACACACACTAACACACACTAACACACAATGCTAACACTAACACAAACTAATACTAACACACTCTAACACTAACACACAACCCTAATACTAGCACAAACTAATACTAACACACACAAACACACACTACACTACACAACACTTCACAGCCCAGGACCTTCCAGGACCCAGCTCTGTGTCGAAGAATTATGGAGCATAGGTCCGCGCCCAAACAACGCAGTGACAGCGCATTTATATTGTTCCTTCCCCGGGAACAGAGCTGCAAAGGCGGCCAAGAAGTGACACACACCACGGGGACACACACCACGGGGGCACACACCACGGGGGCACACACTACGGGGACACGCGGCAGGTTCAAAGTAAAGCACGGAGACTTAAGTTTATACAGACTGTTTTTTTTTCATTAGGAAAAGCCCAACGAAAGTCTGCGCTCCTCTGACGCGCGGTGGACGCTGATCTGGCAGAACGCGCAAACAGAAACCAAGACAAGTGCGAGGACAGCGGCTGTGTGTGGAGCCAGAGTCTCTATCTATGATAGATACCATTCTTGTGACAGTTACCTTGTCTCCGGAGCAGTGTGGCTGTGGTCTCTGCTGCTGGGACAGAGACTGTAGGGACAGACGCACGGCTGAGGCGCGCTGAAGCTGCCCTGTCCTGCCGCTCTCTGACGTGCGGTGTCGCTCCTGTCTCCGCTGTCATTGGTCACAGATGATCGGGTCCTGGTCCTGGTCCTGGTCTTGGTCCTGGCTCTCACCCTCTGTGGCTGTACCTTTATATTAGATTTGAAAAAAATAAAAATATAAATAGACCTACATGAAGAAATCCTGGAACCATATATTTTATGTCCACATTAACAACTATTACAGCTGCTATTAACACACACAACACACCATAACTCTGGCTGTGTGTGTTTGTGTGTGTGTCAATGTATGTGTGTGTGTATATGTATGACTGAGGCTGTAGACCCAGGACTGAGGCTGTAGACCCAGGACTGAGGCTGTAAACCCAGGACTGAGGCTGTAGACCCAGGACTGAGGCTGTAGACCCAGGACTGAGGCTGTAGACCCAGGACTGAGGCTGTAGACCCAGGACTGAGGCTGTAAACCCAGGACTGAGGCTGTAAACCCAGGACTGAAGCTGTAGACCCAGGCCTTTCTACAGTAAACATATTTCATGTTTATTGATAGTGTTTGAACGTTAAACACAGAGACAGAGGTTGTCGTTGCTTCTAGGCACCTAGTCTGCCGGAAATTATCCGAAGAAGAAGAAGTCGTTGCTTCTGGCGCCACAGTGTGTGCGTGTCACCGGAAGTAGCTGTCAGCGAGCAAACGGCCGGCACCTTATGCTAGCTCAGAATTATCACAACAAAGCTGTTTTTGGTGTGATTGAAGGGCTGTAAACCAACTGCAAGCCCCGTGTCATTGTGTGACAGGTGAGACACACACAGTCTGTTTGTTACAGTGCTGCTGTTAGCTGCACTGTTAGTGGCTGTTAGCTGCTAGTTGTTGTTAGCTGCTAGTTGTTGTTAGCTGCTAGTGGTTGTTAGCTGCTAGTTCTATAACGTTTGCAACAATCGAATTAGAAAAACCGTGACTTCCACGTTTTATCACGTATTTCCTCACGTTTTGTTCTTTTTGTGTAAAGTGTAAAGTGACTGCGATCATTCTTATATTTCTGCTAAAGTATGTTTATAGTGTTGTTCACTGTTGAGACTAAAACTACATCAATATGAAGACCTCAGGATGTTTATAATGAGCTTTATTACATGTTTTACATTTATGTGTGGCTCTAACTGCGCACGCGCTGACAGATTTCAATCAACCAACAATCTACCAGTCAAACTTTCTGCTCTGGTCCTAATGCTGTGAACACTCAGACCAGAGGAGTGAGGTTCTGGTGGATAATGGAGAGCGTTAAGGACAGTGGTGATGTGCTTCCTCCTGTGTGTGCGGCTCATAGCTTCAAACACATGTTAAAGTATAATAACAAAGACTTTCTCCTGTTCTTTTGTGAACGTACCTGAACCAGGAGCACGACTCTGTCTCGTCTGTGAGCCTAAGAGTGAGGAGAGACCCTCCCCTGAGCTATGGGTGAGGAGAGACCCTCCCCTGTGCTGTGGGTGAGGAGAGACCCTCCCCTGTGCTGTGGGTGAGGAGAGACCCTCCCCTGAGCTGTGAGAGAGGAGAGACCCTCCCCTGAGCTATGGGTGAGGAGAGACCCTCCCCTGTGCTGTGGGTGAGGAGAGACCCTCCCCTGAGCTGTGAGAGAGGAGAGACCCTCCCCTGAGCTGTGAGAGAGGAGAGACCCTCCCCTGAGCTGTGAGAGAGGAGAGACCCTCCCCTGAGCTGTGAGAGAGGAGAGACCCTCCCCTGAGCTGTGAGAGAGGAGAGACCCTCCCCTGAGCTGTGAGAGAGGAGAGACCCTCCCCTGAGCTCTGAGAGAGGAGAGACCCTCCCCTGTGCTGTGGGTGAGGAGAGACCCTCCCCTGAGCTGTGGGTGAGGAGAGACACTCTCCTGAGCTCTGAGAGAGGAGAGACCCTCCCCTGAGCTGACTCCAGAGTGCAGCTCTGAGGCTGAAGGAGAAAGTCAGATTTGTTTGGAGCCGTGAGTTTAAAGAAAGATGGCTTTAGGGAGGAGACACTCCTTCACTCCACGGGTGAGTCTCTGCTTCAGAGTAAAAATACTTCAAATAATATTCTATGTTTATTACAAAGTACAGAGTTTGGTCTTTTTTCTCACAGAAAAACACTTGTGAGGATGTCACATGTCCACAGTGTGTCTACATTTATCACATGTTTATCTCTTTATTATTATTATTATTATTATTATTATCATTTTAACATTTAACACACACTCAATGTGACAATTCTACTACAAACAACTGATGTTATTGGTGCTTAGTACTTTGTGTGTGAGTGTGTGTCTGTGTGTTATTGTGTGTTTCCCAAACACATATAATTGAGCCGTGGTTGTTTTACCTCGAGGATCAGCAGTGTGAGTTCACATGTTCTGTTGGTCTGAAAGAGGATCTTTGTGCGAGCCACGCTGCCGCAGGACTTGTGTGTGTGGGTGTGTGCGTGTGTCTGTCTGTGTGTGTGTCTCTCTGTGTCTGTTTGTGTGTGTGTGTGTGTGCCTCTGTGTGACTCTGTCTCTCTGTGTCTCTCTGTGACTCTGTGTAACTCTGTGACTCTCTGTGTGACTCACTGTGTCTCTGTGTTGCAGCTGAGCAGCCCTCTGATCAGCAGGATGAGCAGCAGTGGATCTGTGGAGAGCAGCCGCCCTCCTAAGGTGTGTGTGTGATCTGCAGAGTGTGTGAGTGATAGCTGTCTGCTCCAATCACCTGCCTCTGTGTGTGCGTGCTCAGATCGGCTCGGTGGTAGAAGTGACGGGGAAGGGCCAGCGCGGCACCGTGGCCTTCATCGGCGCCACATTTTTCGCTTCTGGGAAGTGGGTCGGAGTGATCCTGGACGAGGCCAAAGGCAAGAACGACGGCACGGTCCAAGGAAAACGCTACTTCACCTGTGAAGAGAACCATGGCATTTTTGTCCGCCAGTCACAGGTACAGGACCCAGGGCTGAGGCCGTAGACCCAGGGCTGAGGCCGTAGACCCAGGGCTGAGGCCTTAGACCCAGGGCTGAGGCCGTAGACCCAGGGCTGAGGCCGTAGACCCAGGGCTGAGGCCGTAGACCCAGGGCTGAGGCCGTAGACCCAGGGCTGAGGCCGTAGACCCAGGGCTGAGGCCGTAGACCCAGGGCTGAGGCCGTAGACCCAGGGCTGAGGCCGTAGACCCAGGGCTGAGGCCGTAGACCCAGGGCTGAGGCCGTAGACCCAGGGCTGAGGCCGTAGACCCAGGGCTGAGGCCGTAGACCCAGGGCTGAGGCCGTAGACCCAGGGCTGAGGCCGTAGACCCAGGGCTGAGGCCGTAGACCCAGGGCTGAGGCCGTAGACCCAGGGCTGAGGCCGTAGACCCAGGCTGAGGCCGTAGACCCAGGGCTGAGGCCGTAGACCCAGGGCTGAGGCCGTAGACCCAGGGCTGAGGCCGTAGACCCAGGGCTGAGGCCGTAGACCCAGGGCTGAGGCCGTAGACCCAGGGCTGAGGCCTTTCCTGACCATAACGTTCTCTTACTCAGATCCAGGTGGTGGATGACGGCTCAGCTGCTACTTCTCCAGATACGTCTGAGTCCAGCTCCTCCAAGCTCCCGCGACAGAGAGCAGACAAAGGTACAGAAAAAGGTACAGCCTCAGAGAGATCCTTTCAGCACTAACTTGACGCTGATGTGTTTTTGTCAGAGATTCCAGAGACTCCCAGAACGAGCAAACAGGTAAACCCCTGTGTCCCCCTAGTCTGATCCTGCACACGTGTGCCATGTGGTTTATGTGTTGTTTCTTGTGGATGTTTCTTCCAGACCCCTGCAGGCATTAAGAAGGTAGACTGTTTGTTCTGGTCATGGCTTCTCCTTCTCACTGGTTTCTCTCTTTGTCCATCTGCATGCAGCATGTGCTGTACTCTGTTCTCTTCTGTTTCTCATAGCCTTGTAGCCTTAAAGTCATTAAATATCCACCTGAGTTACATTATCCTTCATTGTCCTCTGCATTCGACCCATCCTCGTAAGCAGAGGTGGCTGTAGTAAGCTCATAGTATTGGACAGTGTAGTATGTGTTCTTTAAGTGATAATACCAACCTCTCCAAGATGTCTGCCTCATGGAGTCCTCCTCAGTAAAAGCTGTCGTTCTGTCCCCAAGGCCGTTTTAGTGACACTGAAATCTGTGGGTAAATCTACTTAGTCCATGTGGCTTTAGGCTGCCACATAACTACATGCATGAGTACTAACCTCTTTGTCTCATCCATCACCATTACTTCTGTTACTCTTCCTCCTCCATCACTGATGGTTCTGTTGATCCTCTTTCTCCTCCATCACTGATGGTCCTGTCGTCCTGGTGTTTGGTTGTGACTCCTGGTGCACAGAGGTGTGTGTGTGGTGCATGGCAGCATGGCGGGTGTATGTGATTGTAGTAGATATATTTAAAATTGCCTCTGATCTCCTCTCCTGCCCCCCTGGATGTGTCTGTGTGTACTGTCCTAACCTGTCCTCCTCCAGCCCTCCTCTACCTCTGCCCGCCGCTCCGTCAAGGTGAGACCCCCTACTGAGGGGCTGCCGGACCCTGTCACTCACACTGGGAAACACACGGCGCTATACAAATAAACGTTACTCACTTACTTACTGGGAAATACACACATCTCCATCTGTGTCAAAGTGTTTTAGAGAGACCAGAGAGAGACCAGAGAGAGACCAGAGAGAGACCAGAGAGAGACCAGAGAGAGACCAGAGAGAGACCAGAGAGAGACCAGAGAGAGAGCACATGAGATGCAGGACCAGTGTATGTAATAGACCTAAAACAGTCAGCCAGAATGTTGGGGTCTGATTTTATGAAATGATTTATTAGAAGAAAGCATAAAGTTGGGTCCCCAGTTTAACACTTGTCAGGCCTGTGTCTCGTGTTCTGAGGGTTCATGCAGATCGAGTTCTGACCAGCAGATGGTGCTGTTTCACTTCCTGTGAAGTGCCACAGTTGTTGTTGGTGACCTGTCTTTGTGTCATTACCTCAGCTGAGCACCCCTCGCCTGGTCCCTGCCTCCTCCCTGCCCTCCCTCCTGCGTCCCCCAGGGCGCTCAAGCCTCTCCAGGACGGTACGCTCTGCTCCGCTGGCTCTGGACCCACCAGTCTCTCATGTGATCTCGGAAACTCTTCACTCTCGCTAAAATGGGATTGAACGCTGCTCAACTCTGACACTCGGCCTGTGTGTTTGTGTGTCTCTGTTTCTGGGTCTTTCTCTCTCTGTGTCTCTCTGTGTCCCTCAGTCTCTCTGTCCCTCTCTCTGTGTCTCTGTCTCTCTCTTTCTCCCTCAGTCTCTCTCTCTCTGCGTGTGTCTCTTTCTCTATGTCTTTCTCTCTCTGCGTGTCTCTCTTTCTCTGTGTCTCTCACTCTCTGTGTCCCTCAGTCTCTCCCTCTCTGTCTTTCTTTCTGTATCCCTCAGTATCTCTCTCTGTCTCTCTCAGCGTGCCTCTTTCTCTGTGTGTCTTTCTCTCTCTGTGTGTTAGAGAGATCTGAGTTTCCAAGATCACATGACAGCAGTATCTGTTCTAACTCACATGATGCTTCTGAAACTATGGGGCAGAATTTTTCTGGGCCTTCTCACCTCAATACAAAACTACTTCTCTTTTTGTGGGACTTGGTTCTTCACTTTCAGATTCTTTCTTAAGCTTCTATCACTGCAACAATCAAAACCAAAAAGCAGAATATTTATCTGGATTTGAGAGATGTCCAGGAGTAGGATGTTAAACTATTGTTGGGTCTGAATCTGCCAAATGGTCAAGCACCATCATTACAATCCTCCCAATGGTGTAGAGAGGGAGGCAGGAGGTCCAGGACTGAGGCTGTAGACCCAGGACTGAGACTGTAGATAAAACATCCAGATAAATATTGGGCCTTCTGATCCTGTATGTCTTTGAGTCTGTCCTGTTTCTCATCCGCTGTGTTTGGCAGGCGTCCCGGGAGAGTCTGTCCTCGTCCCACTCAGACATTAGCGAGGCGGCTCAGACAGCTCCAGCCACACCTACCCCAGCCACTCCTGCCCCAACCACACCTGCCCAGGTGTCTGTGACCGCCACTCCCAGCAAGGTACGTCCTCGGATAGACAGAGCCGTGTTCTACCTTTCAAAAAGAATCAGAATCATTGTTATTTCCATGTAAGTCACAGATTGGAACTTGCATTGTCCCTCGGTGCGAAGAGGTAGAGAACAGAAAAGGAACATAGTAATTATCAGCAAACACTTCTAAGATATAAAAATGAAAAAGAAAAGGGTTGAGTTGTATGACGGTCTCTCCAACTGCCTGCCTTCAAAAGAGTGCTCTCTAACGCCACCTTGTACCTGTGTGACCAGGTGGAGCTGGTCCAGTCCGTTCAGGTAAATGATCTGTGTCTAAAGCAGCTGCTGAGAATCCTCCACTGGGTCTCTTCACATGGTTCTGTTCACACTGGTCTCTCTCTGGTCTCTCTCTGGTCTCCCTCTGGTCTCTCTCTGGTCTCTCTCTTGTCTCTCTCTGGTCTCTCTCTGGTCTCCCTCTGGTCTCTCTCTGGTCTCTTTCTGGACCAGTGTATGTGTGTGAGATGGTGAATGGTTTGGGACATTGAAAACTACTATAAATTGTATCCGAACAAAAAACTAACAAGGACCATCATTAGATAATAATGATAAAAATAATAATAATGTGTTTTCCTCGTGTGTGATGGTGTCCTGGAGGAGTTCAGACTCTCTCTGGTTTGGGTTTGTTGATCTAATGAAAGGTTGGGTTTGCACGTTCTCTCTGTGTCTGGGTAAATACTTAATGACTGCATGTTCTGCATGACACAGCTGCTGTGCGGGAAAGTTGGGGAACACGTTTAAAGTGTGTGTGTTTGTGTGTGTGTGTGTGTGTAGGAGGAGGAGAGTTTGCGTTCTCAAGTGAAGGACCTGGAGGAAAAGTTGGAGACTCTCAAGATGAAGCGAAACGAGGACAAAATGAAACTGAAGGAACTGGAAAAACACAAGATCCAACTGGAGCAGCTGCAAGAGTGGAGGAGCAAGATTCAGGAGCAGCAGACGGACCTACAGAGGCAGCTGAAGGAGGCCAAGAGGGTTAGACCACGGACCAGGGACCAGGGACTACAGACCAGGGGACCAGGGACTACAGACCAGGGGACCAGGGGACCAGGGAGAGGCCAGGACTGGGGACTACAAACCTGCAGCAGACGGACCTGCAGAGGCAGCTGAAGGAGGCCAAGAGGGTTAGACCAGGGACCAGGGACTACAGACCAGGGGACCAGGGAGAGACCAGGACCAGGGACTACAGACCAGCAGTAAACGGACCTGCAGAGGCAGCTGAAGGAGGCCAAGCGGGTTAGACCAGGGGACCAGGGAGAGGGGACCAGGGAGAGGGGACCAGGGAGAGGGGACCAGGGAGAGGGGACCAGGGAGAGGGGACCAGGGAGAGGGGACCAGGGAGAGGGGACCAGGGAGAGGGGACAAGGGAGAGGGGACCAGGGAGAGGGGACCAGGCAGAGGGGACCAGGCAGAGGGGACCAGGCAGAGGGGACCAGGGACAGGGGACCAGGGACAGGGGACCAGGGACAGGGGACCAGGGACAGGGGACCAGGGACAGGGGACCAGGGACAGGGGACAGGGACCAGGGACAGGGGACCAGGGACAGGGGACCAGGGACAGGGGACCAGGGACAGGGGACCAGGGAGAGACCAGGACCGGGGACTACAGACCTGCAGCAGATGGAACTGCAGAGGCAGCTCAAGGAGGCCAAGAGGGTTAGACCAGGGACCAGGGACTACAGACCGGGGGACCAGGGACTACAGACCGGGGGACCAGGGACTACAGACCAGGGGACCAGGGACTACAGACCAGGGGACCAGGGACTACAGACCAGGGGACCAGGGACTAGGACCAGGGAGAGACCAGGACCAGGACCAGGGAGAGACCAGGACCAGGACCAGGGAGAGACCAGGACCAGGGAGAGACAAGGACCAGGGACTATAGACCAGCAGCAAACGGACCTGCAGAGGCAGCTGAAGGAGGCCAAGAGGGTTAGACCAGGGGACCAGGGACAGGGGACCAGGGACCAGAATCAGGGAGAGACCAGGACCGGGGACTACAGACCTGCAGCAGATGGACCTGCAGAGGCAGCTCAAGGAGGCCAAGAGGGTTAGACCAGGGACCAGGGACTACAGACCAGGGATTACAGACCAGGGGACCAGGGACTACAGACCTAAAGTAGATTGACCCACAGAGGCAGCTCAAGCAGGCCAAGAGGGTTAGACCAGGGACTACAGACCAAGGACTAGAGACCAGGGACCAGAGACCAGAGACTAGATACCCTGTTTGTGTGGGTAGGAGGCCCGTGAAGCGCAGGAGGCCAAGGACCGTTACATGGAGGAGATGTCCGACACGGCGGACGCTATCGAGATGGCGACTCTGGACAAGGAGATGGCAGAAGAGCGAGCAGAGTCCCTGCAGGTGGAAGTGGACTCCCTGAAGGAGAAGGTGGAGGAGCTGTCCATGGACCTGGAGATCTTGCGCCACGAGATCTCCGAGAAGGGTTTGTGTCTCCACACTCACTGACCACACAGCCATCATTTACTGATTGTATGACTCCTGCTCCCCTCAGGGTCTGATGGAGCTGCATCCAGTTATCACGTCAAACAGCTGGAGGAGCAGAACGCCCGTCTGAAGGAGGCGCTGGTCAGGTGGGTCACTCCTGCTGTTCACTCCTGGTGTGTGAGGAGGTGCTTGTCACTCCTGCTGTGTGAGGAGGTGCTGGTCACTCCTGCTGTGTGAGGAGGTGCTGGTCACTCCTGCTGTGTGAGGAGGTGCTGGTCACTCCTCCTGTGTGAGGAGGAGCTGGTCACTCCTCCTGTCTGAGGAGGAGCTGGTCACTCCTCCAGTGTGAGGAGGAGCTGGTCACTCCTCCTGGTGACGTGTGTGTGTTCAGGATGAGAGACCTGTCGGCCTCAGAGAAGCAGGAGCACCTGAAGCTGCAGAAACAGACAGAGAAGAAGAACAATGAGCTGGAGACACTCAGGGCCCAGAAGGACAAGCTGTCAGAGGAGCTGAGGCAAGCGGAGGCCACCACCGAGGAGCTGAAGGAGCAGGTACACCTCCCCACCCACACAGGAGCTGAAGGAGCAGGTACACCTCCCCACCCACACAGGAGCTGAAGGAGCAGGTACACCTTCCCACCCACACAGGAGCTGAAGGAGCAGGTACACCTCCTTCAGTGTGGCGCTATTCTAATAACAGACGTTCACGCTCCTCCACCACACTTTTAATTTCTCAGGCTCACACTGTTTATAAACACACACGCACGCAACGTGAGCGTTGTACTACACCTTGTTCTGGAACAGCTGTCTTCGCTGTGGCAACGATCCGGGCCTCATTCGTTTGTGAAAACCTTTGTGTCTGTGTGTGTCTGTGTGTGTGTGTGTGTGTGTGTGTAGGTGGATGCGGCCCTGGGCTCAGAGGAGATGGTGGAGACTCTGACTGAGAGGAACCTGGACCTGGAGGAGAAGGTCCGAGAGCTGAGGGAGACGGTCACTGACCTGGTGAGTCTGAGGCTGCTCCATGGTCCAGAGTCTGAGGCTGCTCCATGGTCCAGAGTCTTACATGGTTCCTCTGGTCGCCCTCAGGAGGCCATCAACGAGATGAATGACGAGCTGCAAGAGAACGGCCGTGAGACGGAGATGGAGCTGAGGGAGCAGGTGGACCTGAGCGTGGCCAAGGTCCGAGAGGCCGAGAAGAGAGTGGAGGCAGCTCAGGAAACTGTGGCGGACTATCAACAGACCATCAACAAGTACAGGGAGCTGACAGCACAGCTGCAGGTACTACTCATCCATCCAGGACTGCAGCTGTAGACCCAGGTCTGAGGCTGTAGACCCAGGGGCAGGGCAGGGCAGGGCAGGGCCCACATATCACAAATAATCACAGAACATTAAAAAGAAAGATAAAAATATAAAATCCCTTAGTTGTATGCACAGCTAAACAGAACTGTCTTTAACCTGGTTTTAAACATTGTCAGAGAGGAGGCCTGTCTCACATCTTCCGGAAGAATGTTCCAGATTTTAGCAGCATGAATCTGAAAAGCAGCCTCCCCATGTTTAGTTCTGACTCTGGGCACTAACAGGAGTCCAGTCCCTGTGCTCCTCAGAGTCCGGGCTGGTTCATATTTGACTAACATGTCACTAATATATTTTGGTGCGAGGCCATGGAGAGACTTGTAACAAGCAGAGCTGTTTTAAAGTCTATTCTCTGAGCCACAGGAAGCCAGTGCAGAGACCTGAGAACTGGACTAATGTGGTCGTACTTCCTGGTTCTAGTCAGGACTCGAGCTGCTGCATTTTGAATGTACTGCAGCTGTTTTACAGCCTGTTTGGACAGACCTGTGAGCAGGCCATTGCAGTAGTCTAACCTACTGGAGACAAATGCATGGATAAGAATCTCCAAGTCTTAGATGGTAAAAAGCTGCTGATGTTACTGATTTGATGTGGCTATTAAAATTTAAGTCCTGTATTACCCCTAGATTTCTGACCTTGTTTGAAGGTTTTAGGGAGAGAGACTGTAGGTGACAGATGACGCTCTCTCTTTGTTTCTGGGGACAAAAGACAATCATTTCAGTTTTGTCTGCGTTTAGCTGAAGGAAGTTGTTTTGCATCCACTCACTAATCTGTTGGATACAGTGAAGGAGTGAGTCCACTGGTCCATGTTCTCCTGCAGTCAGTGAGACATAGATCTGAGTGTCGTCTGCATAGTTGTGATAGGACACTTTGTTTCTGCGTATTAACTGACCTAACGGCAGCATGTAGAGATTGAACAGAAGAGGTCCCAGGATCGACCCCTGTGGTACTCCACAGGTCAGGGCCATATGATCTGAGACACAGTTTCCAATCTCCACAAAGTACTTCCTGTCTTCAAGGTAAGACCTAAACCAACTTAGGGCGGTGCCAGCGACGCCAACCCAGTTCTCTAGTCTCTGTAAGAGGATCTCATGGTCGACAGTGTCAAAGGCAGCACTCAGATCTAACAAGATTAAGATTGAAACTTTGTCTGCGTCAGTGTTCAGTCGGATATCGTTTGTAACCTTAACGAGAGCAGTCTCAGTGCTGTGGTGGGGTCTAAAGCCGGACTGAAACATATCAAATGAGTTGTTGATTATAAGAAATCTAGTAAGCTGTAGGTAGACAACTTTCTCAAGGACTTTCCCCATAAATGGCAGATTTGAGATGGGACGATAGTTGTTAAGTACCGTAGCATCCAGACTGCTCTTTTTTAGCAGGGGCCTGATGACTGCAGTTATCAGGGCCTTTGGGAATATTCCAGAATGAAGGGACATGTTTACTATCTTAGGCTCCTTCCCTCTGTTCAGGAGGCGAACCGTGAGTTGGTCTCTCAGCAGAACACCAACGTGGAGCTGGTGCAGCAGACGCCTGCAGAACTCTTTGACTTCAAGATCAAGTTTGCGGAAACCAAAGCGTACGCAAAGGTGTGTGTCCAATCTGTCTCTGATGTCTCCCTGATGGCTCCCTGATGTCGCTGATGTCCTGATGTCTCTCTGAGGTCTTCCTGATGTCTCTATCTGATGTCTCTCTGATGTCTCTCTGATGTCCCTCTGATGTCCCTCTGATGTCCCTCTGATGTCCCTCTGATGTCTCTCTCTGATGTCCCTGATGCCTCTTTGATGTTTCTCTCTAATGTCTCCCTGATGTCCTTTGTCTCCACAGGCCATAGAGATGGAGCTGAGGAAGATGGAGGTGTCTCAGCTGAACCTGCAGGTGGCGCTGCTGTCCTCCTTTATGCCTGACTCCTTTGTGCGACACGGAGGAGACCACGACTGTGTCCTGGTGCTCCTGCTGATCCCCCGCCTCATCTGCAAGGTACAGCCTCATCATGAGGGTCTCTGATGCCTCCTCTGTCCTCTCATGTCTTCCTGATGTCTCTGTAATGAGGGTCAGAGGGCCTGTCTCCTGGTCCCTGACTGTCTCCTGGTTCTTGTCCCCCCTCAGGCGGAGCTGATCAGTAAACAGGCTCAGGAGAAGTTTGATCTGAACCACACGCTGGTGCCGGGCCCCCAGCTCAGGGGCCCCTCAGGAGAACAGCGCAGCTTTGCATCAGGCCTCGTCTACTCTCTGAGTCTGCTCCAGGCCTCTCTGCACCGATACCAGCAGTGAGTGAGGGTCTGAGGGACTGTGAGGGTCTGTGAGGGTCTGTGAGGGTCTGTGAGGGTCTGTGAGGGACTGTGAGGGTCTGTGAGGGACTGTGAGGGTCTGAGGGTCTGTGGGGGTTTTGAGGGTCTGTGGGGGTTTTGAGGGTCTGTAGGTATCTGATGTCTCATGTCTCGCCCTGGTCTCCTCATGTCTCGTCCTGGTCCCAGGGCCCTGGGCTGCTGCTCTGTGGACGTGTTCAAACGAATGGGGACTCTGTTTTCTGAGATGAGTTTTCATGAACGTTCTCTGGATCTGTTCATCGACCTCCTGCACCGAGACCAGCTGGACGAGACTGTGCAGGTGGAGCCGCTCACCAGGACCATCAAGTACTACCAGGTGAGCCTCACAGGACCATCAAGTACTACCAGGTGAGCCTCTCCTGGTGTCGGTGTAACCAGTTGTTTGTTGTTGCAGCAACTGTACAGTGTTCATCTGTCGGAGATCAGTGAGGACTGTACCCAGGAACTGAAGGACCACATCCAGGTACATGTGACATCACACATGTGTGACGTCACACATGTGTGATATCAGACATGTGACATCACACACCTGTGACATTACCTGTTGCATCACTTGTGTCATCACACACGAGACATCACAGACGTGAAATCAGACAGATGTGTGTGTGTGTGTGTGTAGGTCACCGTGCTGGCCCTGGACTGCATGGCTGTAGAGGTGTGTCGCCTCAGAGCCTTCCTCTCTGTGGGGCAGGAGAGCTCAGGGCTCAGTGTCCTCCTCAAGGACCTGGACACCTCCTGCTCCGACATCAGACAGTTCTGTAAGAAGATCCGCCGACGGATGCCAGGGGCCGACGTCCCAGGGGCCCCAGCTGCACTGTGCTATGGACCACAGGTTGGGAACCACAACCTGAGAGAGAGACCAGAGAGATAGAGAGACCAGAGAGATAGAGAGACCAGAGAGAGAGAGAGACCAGAGAGAGTGAGACCAGAGAAAGAGAGAGACCAGAGAGAGAGAGAGGCTTATGATCAGGCTCAGGAAAGGAGTTTCTGTTGAATTTTGACCCAGATATATCACCTGCTAAACTAAGAATAATCAGATGTAGTTGTTTTCAAAGCATGACCTTTGAACCTGTGTGAATGAGCCTCTGTCGCCCCCTACAGGTCTCTGACAGTCTGAGCGAGTGCAGGAGGCAGCTGAGTCGGGTCCTGGTTGTGCTGCAGGAGGTGGCTGCAGCAGGAGCTCAGGTCATTGCTCCTCTGCCGGAGAACGAGGGTCTGAGTGCCCTCAAGCTGGAGGACTTCCTCATCAAAGCAGTGGAGCAGGTCGGCATCGAACCCTCACCTTAGAATCAGTAACATAACAAGGACTGAGGCTGTAGACCCAGGACTGAGGCTGTGGACCCAGGACTGAGGCTGTGTACCCAGGACTGAGGCTGTGTACCCAGGACTGAGGCTGTGGACCCGGGACTGAGGCTGTGGACCCGGGACTGAGGCTGTGGACCCGGGACTGAGGCTGTGGACCCGGGACTGAGGCTGTGGACCCAGGACTGAGGCTGTGTACCCAGGACTGAGGCTGTGTACCCGGGACTGAGGCTGTGTACCCGGGACTGAGGCTGTGGACCCGGGACTGAGGCTGTAGACCCAGGACTGAGGCTGTGGACCCAGGACTGAGGCTGTGGACCCAGGACTGAGGCTGTAGACCAGGGGTCGGCAACCTATGGTCTTCATACACGTGTGCCATCCATGTATGAAGGATGGCACGCGTTATATGACACGGTGGTCTAGTGTTTGAGTTACAGCCCTGGCATCGCAACAACCCGGGTACGAGTCAGAGTAAGACCTATGTTTGTATTGAACAAAATATATTATATGCCATGACAAATTGCTCAAGAACGGTAAAAGGTATAAACAAGCTGGTTTTTGCAGATTAAAGCTAGGAGTCTAACCTTTCATTTGGCCCTCAGTGTTTATATAGTCTATTTAATCACCAAGGGCCAAATGAAGATTAGATTTTGTTGGATTACAAAAAAAGGGCAAAAAATTTCCAGAACTGGAGGACGAGAAGCCACACCCGCAGTCGGTTAACAACCGAGCACTGAGGCATGTTTGCAACTCAAAGTAACTAACTACAAGCCCCAGATCACAGAGCTCCAGCACAGCATGGCCAGGATCACACTGACTGTCTGCTACAGGCATCTGATCATTTGATGTTGCCTCAGCCTACACTTGTTTTAGTTTAAATGTGTAGGCTAGCTGTTTTTCAGTCTTTGAAATGTTGATGTGGCTATTTTATTAAGAATACAGATACAGTTATGGTTGAGAATAAAATTCCAGGTATATTGGAAATGTTTTTGTATTTTGTGTCATAATTTAACTTTGCGTTATCGTTGATAATGGCACACTAGATGAGAAGAAAATTTCAAACTGTCACTCCATGTCACAACGGTTGCCGACCCCTGCTGTAGACCCAGGACTGAGGCTGTAGACCCAGGACTGGGTCAAGGGTCCTTTGATCTTTGACCCCAATAACGGACTCTTACTGTGGTTCTGGTCCTGGAACACTGGTGTGATGTCTGGTCCCTGTGCTGGTTCTGGTTCTGTGCAGGTGTACGGCTCCCAGGAGCTGAGGCCCAGTGATAGTCTGCAGCAGTCCTGCACCGCTGTCATCGCCGCCATGAACAAGATGGCCACCGCCATGCAGGAGGGCGAGTACGACGCTGACCGCCCCATTGCTCCGGTCAGAACTCACTCTCTCTCAGGTCTCTCTTTTTCACCACAAAATATATATGTATTTTTTTATATTGATGTGTGTGTGTGTGTGTTAGACCCCCCCGGTGCAGCTCCGTGCTAATGCAGTGAGAGCAGAGATGACTGATGCTGAGGGTCTGGGGCTGAAGCTGGAGGACAGAGAAACCGTCATCAAGGAGCTCAAGAAGTCCCTCAAGATCAAGGTGCAGCTCCCCCTCTGTGTCCCCCCTCTCTCTCCTCCCCCCCTGTGTCCTCCCTCTCTCCCCTCCCTTTCTCCCCTCTCCCCCTCCCTCTCTCCCCTCTCCCCTCCCTCTCTTCTCTCCTCTCTTCTCCCCCCTCTGACATCAGTGGTGTGTGCCTCAGGGGGAGGAGCTGAGTGAGGCCAGTGTCCGTCTCAGTTTGTTGGAGAAGAAGTTGGACACTTCCACCAGAGACGCAGACGACAGAGTGGAGAAGATCCAGACCAGACTGGACGACCACATGGTCCTGCTCAAGAAGAAGGAGAAGTTAGTGCTCACCTGGACCAGATCCAGACCCAGACCAGGACCCTGACACTGACCTGGACCAGACCCAGACCTGGACCCTGACCCCTGACTGTTTGCAGAGAGTTTGAGGAGACCATGGACGCGCTGCAAGCCGACATAGACCAGCTGGAGGCCGAGAAGACGGAGCTGAAGCAGCGCATCAACAGCCAATCAAAGGTCACCATCGAGGGCCTGAGAGCCGCGCCCAACGCAGGGATCGCCTCCATGGTCCAGGGAGCCTCCTCTGGTCAGTACCTGTTCCACATGGTCCTGCCCCACATGGTCAGTACCTGCTCCACATGGTCGGTACCTCCTCCGCTGGTCAGGACCAGAAACACTCCCAATCAGGGGAGAGTAGAGCTGAGCCAGGCCCCCTCAGGTTTGGAATGCGCCTCCTGTTCGGCGACCCCGCTCCCATCTCTGTGTGGAGTGAGAGGACAAGTGCCCAAAAAATAACAATTGTAAACCGCTTTGTGACTCTGTTCTGTGAAAGGCGGTATATAAATAAAGATTACTTATTTACTTACTTACTCTCTCCTTCTTAAGTCTGACTCCCTCTCTCTCTCTCCCCCTCAGGTCTCCCCCCAGGCGTGGCTGGGCCCCTGCAGGTGGTGGACTCCCCTCTCCTCCGGCAGCAGGTGGAGGTCCAGAGACTCTGCATCAAACACCTCAAGAACGAGAGCCACAGACTCAAGGTGACATCACCACCACAGTGTGACATCACCACCACAGTGTGACATCACCACCACAGTGTGACATCGACACCACAGTGTGACATCACAGTGTGACATCGACACCACAGTGTGACATCACAGTGTGACATCGACACCACAGTGTGACATCACAGTGTGACATCGACACCACAGTGTGACATCACAGTGTGACATTGACACCACAGTGTGACATTGACACCACAGTGTGACATCGACATCAGTGTGACATTGACACCACAGTGTGACATCGACATCAGTGTGACATTGACACCACAGTGTGACATCGACACCACAGTGTGACATCGACACCACAGTGTGACATCACAGTGTGACATCGACACCACAGTGTGACATCACAGTGTGACATCGACACCACAGTGTGACATCGACACCACAGTGTGACATCGACATCACAGTGTGACATCGACACCACAGTGTGACACCACAGTGTGACACCACAGTGTGACACCACAGTGTGACACCACAGTGTGACACCACAGTGTGACACCACAGTGTGACACCACAGTGTGACACCACAGTGTGACACCACAGTGTGACACCACAGTGTGACACCACAGTGTGACACCACAGTGTGACACCACAGTGTGACACCACAGTGTGACACCACAGTGTGACACCACACACCACAGTGTGACACCACAGTGTGACACCACAGTGTGACACCACAGTGTGACACCACAGTGTGACACCACAGTGTGACACCACAGTGTGACACCACAGTGTGACACCACAGTGTGACACCACAGTGTGACACCACAGTGTGACACCACAGTGTGACACCACAGTGTGACACCACAGTGTGACACCACAGTGTGACTCCAGATAGCACTTCCCTGGGCTTCATCTGACTGTGGTTAATACATATATTTTTTGTTTGTGTGCCACAGGCTGAGAAGATGAGGGCTCAGCTGGCCTCCCTCCCCCCCCTGGTGCCCGCCAAGCTCCCTCAGACGACCTCCGACCCCTCCACGCCTCCAGGGGGCGTCAACACGGGCATCTATAGACGCACAGACCAGCTGCTCGCCACGCTGCTTAAGCTGAGCGCAGAGATGAAGGTGGTGGATGTGACCGGCAAGAGCTCAGGTACCTCACCCTCAAGGAGACTCCCCCCTTTCCTCACCCTCAAGGTTACTCCCCCCTCTGCCTCCTCACCCTCAAGGAGACTCCCCCCTCTGTCTCCTCACCCTCAAGGAGACTCCCCCCGCTGTCTGCTCACCCTCAAGGAGACTCCCCCCTCTCCTCACCCTCAAGGAAGACTCCCCCCTCTCCTCACCCTCAAGGAAGACTCCCCCCTCTGTCACCCTCAAGCAGACTCAGAGAGGCTGATAGTGACTCTCTTCTGTACATTTCTAAAACTTAAAATACTTGAAGGTAAATGGGACCGCCCTCTCCTGGAAGCAGAACAGCCTCCTGTAACATTTATCACGAGAACGAGACTTAAAGCTGCACTAACTGACTTTGGGATTTTGAAGCCGTGGACTCTCTGGCCTCGCTCTTTCTGCTCCCCTCCCCGCACCCACGAAGCTATCGCCCCACACACACACCCACTGTTGGGACGGAGTTAGTGTCTCCCAATATGGATAATACACGAATATGGATTTGCACGTGGATGGCGTGACCATAAAACGATAGAACCGGGAAGCGCGAAGGAACGGGACTTTCTTTTGGATGGCTGTTTCGCTGTGTAAGCAGTACCTGGTGACGAAGACACACGAAGTTTCAGGTTAGCTCCTCGTCTTGTTGTGCTAACTCAGCCGTCTATGCTAACGGACTTGTAGATTTCTCACGAAAGTGGGGGCTAGTGGTGCGCTGCTATTGGTCACAATCCGCGACCCGAAACACATTCTCTTCCTTGTTTCATCAAAACTCGATCTAAAATATAATGTCACGCCAGCACAAATCTGCGCTACTTTTTCTTCAAAATGATGTATATCCCAATGCACTACATGGACATGGATAGCACTTTCGTAATGAATACAAAAATAAAGTCAGTTAGTGCAGCTTTAAGTGCTGTTTGTAAAGCCCAGGTGAACTTTAAAGTGCTGTGTATGAAGACCAGGTGAACTTTAAAGTGCTGTTGTTTGCAGTGAGTCCTGGTGCTCAGCTCCTGGAGCAGACCGCTCGGCTGCAGAACCTCAGCGACGCCCTGGACAAGCTCAGGGTGAGTGTGACATAACCGCCAGTAACGCATGAGTTACCTTTTATTTAAGCAACACTTTTGTGGTTTATGTGAATCAGGAACTCAGAGGTCTCTATCTGATCTCTCCCTCTGGTCTCTCTAAAGGCTTCCCCAGCTGCTACTGTCCTTAGTGTGTGTTAGAACACATGAGCCATGTGCTAGAGGGACCATGTGAACAGGTCCTTCTTTGTCCTCAGGGCGAGGTGTCGGAGCATGTGGTGTCTCAGCGTCCAGGAGCCAGAGCGGCCTCAGACTTCGCCACGTTCCCTCGCTCCACGTTTGTGAAGGTAAAGCTGGGGTTGAGTCTGTTCTCAGACTCAGATCTCAGTCTCAGGTCTCAGTCTCTGTGTTTCAGGCCAAAGAGGAGAAGCAGCAGGAGGGCACAGTGCTGCTGGGTCGGGTCCTGATCCCCTGCTCAAGAGGACAGGAGCAGGTTCACAGGGTCGTCCTGAGCCAGGGACAGCAGAGACAGGTGCACTGTCTGCTCAGCGCCTGAAGGACCAGCTGCTCCTGCCGACAGTCCAGGGTGCTGTGAAAGCAGTCATCTGTTGACCACACACTTAACAAATCTAACCATTGGTCACTTCCTGTTTTTCCTCATTGTTTAAACTGAATCTTATTAGAATGGTCAGAAAATTCCCACTGAGGCTTTTAACGTCACAATGAAGTATTCTAACACTTTGTATTTATCAATAAAGCTTGAAATAATCTCACTTTTGTCGCTGTGCCCCCTCTTCAGCTACAAACACATCAGTGAAGCTCAGCTCGAAACACTGGCATCTAGTGGATTAATTATTGCAGCTTCTGAATTGGTTCCATTGGTTTATTTCATCTAACTTTTCACATTTGGAAAAGGGAGCTTTCTTTCAGCAGGAAAATATGAATCCTTATATTTACAGTAATTAACAGAAACTAAAGGACTGAACTCTGTGGGTTAGTTTTTATTATTTGTTTGAGGATCAATTTTTATTATTGGTTTGAGGATCAATAAGTCATGGAACAGAATGTTTGCAGTGTATTTTAATGGATCCTCAAATCTGGACAAATGATCAAGAACCTACAGTGCCTTGCGAAAGTATTCAGCCCGAAGTATTCAAACGAAGATATATAATTTAAATTATTTGTCATAAATCAACAAGTGGGACACAATCGTGAAGTGGAACAAAAATTTTTGGATAATTTAAATTTTTTTTACAAACTGAAAAGTGGGGCGTGCAATATTATTCGGCCCCTTTACTTTCAGTGCAGCAAACTCAGTCCAGAAGTTCAGTGAGGATCTTTGAATGATCCAATGTTGTCCTAAATGACTGATGATGATAAATAGAATGCACCTGTGTGTAATCAAGTCTCCGTATAAATGCACCTGCTCCTTGATAGTCTCAGGGTTCTGTTTAAAGCCCAGAGAGAACCATGAAGACAAAGGAACACACGGCACGGTGGCTGAGTGGATAGCACTCTCGCCTCTCAGCAAGAAGGTCCTGGGTTCGAATCCCGGCCGGACCAGGGCCTTTCTGAGTGGAGTTTGCATGTTCTCCCCGTGTCTGCGTAGGTTTCCCCTACCTTTAAAAATATGTACAATAGTTCTGGCATGCGCCTCCTGTTCGGCGACCCCACTCCCATCTCTGTGTGGAGTGAGAGGACAAATGCCCAAAAAATAACAATTGTAAACCGCTTTGTGACTCTGGTCTGTGAAAGGCGGTATATAAATAAAGCTTACTTACTTACACCAGGCAGGTCCGAGATACTGTTCTGAAGAAGTTTAAAGCCGGATTTGGATACAAAAAGATTTCCCAAGCTTTAAACATCTCAAGGAGCACTGTGCAAGCAATTATATTGAAATGGAAGGAGTATCAGACCACTGCAAATCTTCCAAGACCCGGCCGTCCCTCCAAACTTTCATCTCAAATAAGGAGAAGACTGATCAGAGATGCAGTCAAGAGGCCCATGATCACTCTGGATGAACTGCAGATAACTACAGCTGAGGTGGGAGAGTCTGTCCATAGGACAACAATCAGTCGTGCACTGCACAAATCTGGCCTTTATGGCAGAGTGGCAAGAAGAAAGCCATTTCTCAAAGATATCCATAAAAAATCTTGTTTAAAGTTTGCCACACCAAACATGTGGAAGAAGGTGCTCTGGTCAGATGAATCGAACTTTTTGGCCACTATGCAAAACGATATGTTTGGCATAAAAGCAACACAGCTCATCACCCTGAACACACCATCCCCACTGTCAAATATGGTGGTGGCAGCATCATGGTTCGGGCCTGCTTTTCTTCAGCAGGGACAGGGAAGATGGCTAAAATTGATGGGAAGATGGATGGAGCCAAATACAGGACCATTCTGCAAGAAAACGTGTTGGAGTCTGCAAAAGACCTGAGACTGGGACGGAGATTTATCTTCCAACAGGACAATGATCCAAAACATAAAGCCAAATCTACAATGGAATGGTTCACAAATAGACGTATCCAGGTGTTAGAATGGCCAAGTCAAAGTCCAGACCTGAATCCAATTGAGAATCTGTGGAAAGAGCTGAAGACTGCTGTTCACAAACGCTCTCCATCCAACTTCACTGAGCTCGAGCTGTTTTGCAAGGAAGAATGGGAAAGAATTCCAGTCTCTCGATGTGCAAAACTGATAGACATACCCCAAGCGACTTGCAGCTGTAATTGCAGCAAAAGGTGGTGCTACAAAGTATTAGTGCAAGGGGGCCGAGTAATATTGCACGCCCCACTTTTCAGTTTATTTGTTAAAAAAGTTTAAATCATCCAATACATTTCGTTCCACTTCACGATTGTGTCCCACTTGTTGATTCTTGACAAAAAATTACATTTGTATATCTTTATGTTTGAAGCCTGAAATGTTGAAAGGTTCAAGGGGGCCGAATACTTTCGCAAGGCACTGTACAAAGATCAAATGTATCACATGTTATTGTTGTAATGTTTTCTTTCTAATAGTCCTGATGTGGTGATGTCACATGAACCCAAAGAGCCTGTAGTTAAGGGTGGAAAGCAGCAGGAAGTCTTTAATCCTGGATTGATCCAAATGAACTGTCAAAGCACAGGGTCAGAGACCTGTGGTCAGGGTCAGAGGTAAGTAAGTTCAGTATAAACAGTTTCCCACAGACTGATGCAACAGTTTAATAAAAGGTTAAAGACAAAAGGTAAAATACAAACATTAGACTCAAATTAAAAGGATAAAAGCATATCAGGCCTGGTCGCCGTGGTGACGAGGCCGTAGGGCCCGGTCGCCGTGGTGACGAGGCCGTTGGGCCCGGTTGCCGTGGTGACGAGGCCGTCGGGCCCGGTCGCCGTGGTGACGAGGCCGTCGGGCCCGGTCGTCGTGGTGACGAGGCCGTCGGGCCCGGTCGCCGTGGTGACGAGGCCGTCGGGCCCGGTCGCCGTGGTGACGAGGCCGTCGGGCCCGGTCGCCGTGGTGACGAGGCCGTCAGGCCCGGTCGCCGTGGTGACGTGGGCGGCTGTAGCTGTACGGAGCGTAGTGAAACCGGTGACGACTCCTCAGACTGTTCTGACACTCCTGGTCTCTGCCACCTCCTCCTGAACACAGTGTCAGAACAGATCAGACTGAACAGGGACTTTACCAAAGACACACTACTGTTTGCAGTAGTACCTGTCTGTGCTTCTCCTGCTCTTGCTCCTCTGTGTGCAGTAGTACCTGTCTGTGCTCCTCCTGCTCTTGCTCCTCTGTGTGCAGTAGTACCTGTCTGTGCTCCTCCTGCTCTTGCTCCTCTGTGTGCAGTAGTACCTGTCTGTGCTCCTCCTGCTCTTGCTCCTCTGTGTGCAGTAGTACCTGTCTGTGCTCCTCCTGCTCTTGCTCCTCTGTGTGCAGTAGTACCTGTCTGTGCTCCTCCTGCTCTTGCTCCTCTGTGTGCAGTAGTACCTGTCTGTGCTCCTGTGTGCAGTAGTACCTGTCTGTGCTCCTGTGTGCAGTAGTACCCTTCTGTGCTCCTGTGTGCAGTAGTACCCTTCTGTGCTCCTGTGTGCAGTAGTACCCTTCTGTGCTCCTGTGTGCAGTAGTACCCGTCTGTGCTCCTGTGTGCAGTAGTACCCGTCTGTGCTCCTGTGTGCAGTAGTACCCGTCTGTGCTCCTGTGTGCAGTAGTACCCGTCTGTGCTCCTGTGTGCAGTAGTACCCGTCTGTGCTCCTGTGTGCAGTAGTACCCGTCTGTGCTCCTGTGTGCAGTAGTACCCGTCTGTGCTCCTGTGTGCAGTAGTACCCGTCTGTGCTCCTGTGTGCAGTAGTACCCGTCTGTGCTCCTGTGTGCAGTAGTACCCGTCTGTGCTCCTGTGTGCAGTAGTACCCGTCTGTGCTCCTGTGTGCAGTAGTACCTGTGCTCCTCTGTGTGCAGTAGTACCTGTCTGTGTTCCTCCTGCTCCTCTGTGTGCAGTAGTACCTGTCTGTGCTCCTCTGTGTGCAGTAGTACCTGTCTGTGCTCCTCCTCCTGTCTGCAGTAGTACCTGTCTGTGCTCCTGCTCCTCTGTGTGCAGTAGTACCCGTCTGTGCTCCTCCTGCTCCTCTGCACCTCCTGCTCCTGGTGTGCAGGAGGTGCTGGTGTTCAGGTTTAGGTGTTGGTTCTTCGAAGCTGAAGTATGAGAGTGAGAGACTGTCGCTGTAGAAGTCTGAGGCTCTGGGCTGCAGCGTCTGAAGAGGCCTCAGAGAAAACACGGACTGAGTGTAGAGCGGAGGGTTCAGGAAGTAGGGGGTCTGCGAGGGGGCTGCGGAGGACACACACATTAGAGACACAGAGACACCGAGACACACATCACACAACGAGACACACACCAGAGACAGACACACACACAGAGACATTGATGTTACCACAGTTGAAGTAGTTTGGTGGAGGCCAGTGCCATTGAGGAGTCTGAAGAAGAGGGACTCCTGTAGAACACAGCAGTAAGTAATGTTTATTTATATTGCACATTGTACAGATAGTTTTCCATTCTTTCCACACTTTCCACACTGTGATGACACTGGTCCATCAAAGCCTCCGACCAACACCATCCTTCACTCACTTCATTCATACCTATTGTACATGTTAGTAGCTGGAGGAAAACTACGCAGACACAGGGAGAACATGCAAACTCCACTCAGAAAGGCCCTGCTCAGACCAGGATTCAAACCCAGGACCTTCTTGCTGAGAAGTGAGAGTGCTAACCACTCAGCTGCTCTGTGATGTCACATACTAACCACAGGTACAGCTGCCTGCTCTGTGATGTCTGCCCACAGCAGTGTTAGTATGTGACATCACAGAGCAGGCAGCTGTACCTGTGGTTAGTATGTGACATCACAGAGCAGGCAGCTGTACCTGTGGTTAGTATGTGACATCAATACATTACAATTCTTGTATATCCCTAAATCACAACAGAAGTCATCTCAGAGGACTTAACAAAACCATTGAAATCAACACAGATCAGAGAATCAACAGTTCAAACACAAAGAATATAGAACACATGTTGATAAATGTCCTTCTAGTTGGACCCTCCTGCATCGGCAAGGAAAAACTCACAAAAACCCAGTCAGACGTCACAGAGCAGCTGTACCTGTGGTTAGTATGAGAGTATGTGACATCACAGAGCAGGCAGCTGTACCTGTGGTTAGTATGTGATATCACAGAGCAGCTGTACCTGTGGTTAGTATGAGTGTATGTGACATCACAGAGCAGCTGTACCTGTGGTTAGCATGAGAGTATGTGACATCACAGAGCAGCTGTACCTGTGGTTAGTATGAGTGTATGTGACATCACAGAGCAGCTGTACTTGTGGTTAGTATGAGAGTATGTGACATCACTGAGCAGCTGTACCTGTGGTTAGTATGAGTGTATGTGACATCACTGAGCAGCTGTACCTGTGGTTCTGCTCCTGGTCTGTGGTGGAGGAGGCTCGATCTTCTCTGTGAACACATCAGTCCAGTGTCAAAGGGTGCAGGGAGCAGATGTGACTAACACAGAGCAGTAACTGACCAGCAGGGGGAGGGGGGGGCACAGTGACCCCCCAGGCATGGGCCACATGTCTCAGGAGAAAGCCGCTGATCATACGGTGGGCGATGGCGTTCCAGTGGACGCCATCTTTGACCCGGTGCTGTAGATGGAAGCGAAAGTTGTAGTGTAGATCCAGGACGTCCAGACCGTAGGCGTCGGCCAGAGTTCCACTGTAGAAGTTGGCCTCGATGACATCAGAGCGCAGGTGCGGCATTCGGTCTTCTATCTGCACCCAGAGAAAGATCGCAGAGTGAGACCTCTGTCTGCACCCAGAGAAAGATCTCAGACTGAGGTCCTAACAGAGTGAGGTCCTCTAACAGTGTTTTTCAACCTTTTTGAGCCAAGGCACACTTTTTTTCTTTGAAAACATCTGGCGGCACAGCACAAGGAGAACATGTAAAATTATTTAGTCTATATTCACAATATCAAGTCATTCTCAAAAATCCAGGCCTTCACATTAAGCTTTGTTAAACATTTCTCAATACAAAAGAGTTAACAAGAGTTTGGGAATAAAGTGGCACTAACTGTGGGAACAAAAACAAAAATCCACTCTCAGCCCAAAAAGTCAAATAATAACTCTGAGGGCTCTAAAGAATGCAAAATCATAAGAAAAAAAATCCCTGCTCTGAGTTCTGTTTGATTTGTTCACAACATTTTATTTTGTGCACAAATAACACGCATTGTTTATGCATGAAGAAAATTTGGGTATCCGAGCTTTAAATTCAGGAGTTTTGGTGCTTGGACACACGGGAGGGACACTGGGGAGACTCACAGGAAAGACATGGGAGACACATGGGAAAGACACACGGGAAAGACACACGGGAGAGACATGGGAAAGACAAGGGAGACACACGGGAGAGACATGGGAAAGACATGGGAGACACACGGGAAAGACATGGGAAAGACAAGGGAGAGACATGAGAAAGACATAGGAGACACACGGGAGACACATGGGAGAGACATGGGAAAGACATGGGAAAGACAAGGGAGACACACGGGAGAGACACGGGAAAGACATGGGAAAGACAAGGGAGACACACGGGAGAGACACGGGAAAGACATGGGAAAGACAAGGGAGACACACGGGAGAGACAAGGGAGACACACGGGAAAGACGTCCATGGTTCTGTCCACGCAACTATGGTCCGCGCTTGGTACCATGTTACGGATGTGCGCTCGCTGAGCTGTTGTCAAAGCGGCAGTCAGTACAACGTGGCCACAGCTGCCCCGGGGCAGAGTGGAGGTTATGAATCCTGTTCAGAAATGGCTTTTTCAAAAATGTCTCCATCACTTTCACTTCTCGGGCCCAATCCCAATACCCACACTGCACCCTACACTGCAATAAAGGCAGAATTGGGACAGTGCACACAGGTTACGTGTCACGTCATCGACTAGTCAAGAGATGGTCATTTTCAGACCTAAACTTTATAAAAATTAAAAGGTAATTTTGTCTGACCCTGTTGCTTCACACATAAATGTATATTGGTTATTTGTAATTTTAGATAGCTGTATAATTTTAAGTTAAATGTGGGAAACTAACTGTTATCTGGTAAGTTTTATACATCCTAAGTTTATTGTACTAAGTGTAAAGTTTAAATTGAATTTTATATGAAAGCTTGGATTAAAAAGTTATTAAATTGTTAGCATAGAATGTCCAGCATATATATTTCAATAATATTTCAAAACTTACTCTTAAATGCATTTTCCTGATGTTTTGGTGTGTGCCGCAAAGAATTATGGGCAATATCTTTCGCCAGAGTCCGCTTAGATGCAGGCTACGGCGAAGTGTGGGTCAGGGGCGCAAAGGGGGCGGGGCCAAAGACCTCCCTGGAGGTTGCGAATTGGGACACCCTATGCACTCGCACCCATCATCGGGAACGCGCAAATGAGGGGCGCGAGGGTGGAAGTGCGAGTATCGGGCCTCACTCGCCACTACCTGTTACATTTGTTGGTCGCATCCAATTCCTACGTTTTAAAGTACTTTGCTCTCTGCTGCCACCTACTGATATGAAAAAGTATTACATGGTTACTCCACAGTTAAAAACACGTCAGCGCTAGCCAACGGTGGATGCAGTTATTTGTAGACAAAGTAGGCAAATTTCTCACAGCACACTAGACCAGTGGTTCCCAAAGTGGGGGTCCCGACCCCCCGGGGGGTCGCGGGAACCCCTGGGGGGGGTCGCAAGATGATTTCCAAAAAAAAAAAAAAAAAAAAAAAAAAACAACATTTTGCTAATTAATAGCCCTTAAATATTGATTTAGCATTTGATTTGATTCAAAAGGACTACTTGTTAAATTGTGTTAGGAGAATATAAAATATTTAAATTACGTTTGTAATTTTGTCCAGTCATTGTCAGCGTCAATCAAAATCAAGTTACGCAGCTTACGTCACACAGCGACAAAGCGTGTCCATCTGTTGTTTGCTAAAACTAAAGGTGTTTGGAGGCTTCAAACAAATAATACCTGCTTTAAAATGAAACGTGGTTAATATCCACAACAGAAAAACCCGGAGGGAGAGAAAAGTCACATGTGAGGTCAGGTGCGAAGAGAGGGAGAGAGGGCAGCGGAGGGAGAGAAGCGGAGGGAGAGAGGGCAGCGGAGGGAGAGAGGGCAGCGGAGGGAGAGAAGGCAGCGGAGGGAGAGAGGGCAGCGGAGGGAGAGAAGGCAGCGGTAGAAGAGGGTGGTAAAGAGGCCCGGCTTTTCGGAGTCAGTGGTAAAGAGGTCCGCACATTAAAAGCGGGTGGCTGCTTTATGCTGTTACTTACAGTAACTTTGGAAAAAGAAGCCGCGGGGATGAAGCGCATAAAGTAACAGCAGAAAGCGGCCGCCCGCTTTTTATGTGCGGACCTCTTTACCGCTGACTCCGAAAAGCCGGGCCACTTTACCGCGGTATGAGAACAGAGAGGGCGAGCCGCAAGAAATGCTCTCCACTTCTGCTAAGAAGGGAGCCCACCAAGCCCATCACTGTGTCACTACGTGAGTAAAAATACGCAAGCCTCCTTTTTTGGGCTGGACAGTGCAGCTCAGTAGTGCACTGTCCAGCACTATATCAAGGAAATACATGCTCATTGACGGGAAGGACTGTTGAGGTGGGGGGTCGCGGGGGAGCAGCGCATTTATGATGGGGGTCGCGGGCTAAAAACTTTGGGAACCCCTGCACTAGACAATAGAGATAGAGTGAGGTCCATCACTGACCTCTGCCACCAGAAAGCCTCCTCTGATCTTCTGTGCTAAAGGCATGGTCATGTTCCAGATCACCAGGGTCTCCATCGGCAGCAGAGCCTTCAGCTCCTCAAACAACTGGTGCAGGTCCTCTTTGTAGTCCCTCGTCCACTCACCGTTATACCTACACACACAAACACAGTTATACCTACACACAGTTATACCTACACACGCGCACACACGCAGTGTGACAATATATTGATATGGTGATGTATCGTGATACTTTCTCACACAATCAATTATCGATAACAATTTTAAGCTTTATTTGAAAAAAAAGTATCGATACTAAATATATGGCTACATTACGCATTCTACAATTTCTGTAGAATTTTTTGTATTCATTTTATTGGATTTAAGACAGATTAAGTCAGATGTTTACTAAAATGGTTAAAAGGCATTTTTTCCTGTTCACTTTAATGTTACACATTACACTTTATTCAATTATCTTTAAATAGTGTATTTTTTCACTTAATTTATGCCATAAATATAAAAGAAAAATATGATCAAAAGTTATATTTTTGACCAATATATCAATAATCGCATTGTCATATCGTGAGCTTTGTATTGTACATCATATTGTATTGTGAGGTACCCTGAGGTTCCCACCCCTATTACACACGCACAGATACGGACCTGGAGATGTCCCAGACACACACACACACACTCACTGTTATACCTACACACACACACAGACCTGGAGATGTCCCACACACAGGAGTTGATGATGAGGATGTCAGGCTTAGGTCCTCTGATGAAGTCACTGAGGATGCTCCTCATGTATGAGGAGAAGACTCTGGTGATGAAGTAGAAGCGCAGCAGGTGGTGCTCAGACTTGTACTGACGAACCTCTTTATACTCCACCCCATTGTGTAGAGCTCCCAGAGAGCCCCCCTCCACCAGGGCATCCTGCTCAAAGCTCAGCTCTCCCTGATGAGGAATACCACAGCTGTAACACATAGTGTCTCTCTCTCTGGTCCTGGTCTCCCTCTCTCTCTCTCTCTCTCTCTCTCTCTCTCTCTCTCTCTCTCTCTGGTCTCTCTCTCTGGTCTCCCTCTCTCTCTCTGGTCTCCCTCTCTCTCTCTGGTCTCCCTCTCTCTCTCTGGTCTCCCTCTCTCTCTCTGGTCTCCCTCTCTCTCTCTGGTCTCCCTCTCTCTCTCTGGTCTCCCTCTCTCTCTCTGGTCTCCCTCTCTCTCTCTGGTCTCCCTCTCTCCCTCTCTCTGGTCTCTCTCACCTTGCTGCGGAGCTGGCTGTCAGTGAGGTACTTGTCTGTTTGGAGCAGGGTGACCAGGTCTTTGTAGACGCCACGCTGGACTGAGGAAGAGGAGCACAGGGTCATCATCATCATCATCATGGAGAGTGTGAGAAGGTCTCTCTGCCTCATACTCACTGGAGTCGCCCACGACCACCACAAATTTGTTGTGAAGCAGTTTGACCACCTGCTCATGAGCAATACTCCTTACCTCCTTCTGTGAGACACACAACACATACTGTCAGGTACACACAAACACACACTGTCAGCCACACACAAACAGACGCTGTCAGGTACACACAAACACACACTGTCAGGTACACACAAACACACACTGTCAGGAACACACAAACACACACTGTCAGGTACACACAAACAGACGCTGTCAGGTACACACAAACACACACTGTCAGGTACACACAAACACACACTGTCAGGTACACACAAACAGACGCTGTCAGGTACACACAAACACACACTGTCAGGTACACACAGGCTGAACACGAGACACACAAACATTACACACACTTTCAGGTCCTCAGCCCTGGATCCGGGACCGACTCCGGGTCTCTCTGGACTATTGTCAAATTACAAATAAAAACTATAAAAACAGAAGTAACGACCGTTACAAACTCACCATGACTCAGACTAAAGTATTAACAGTGTTGGTGGAGTCCCGAACAGACGCAGCGTGACCGGTACCAGGGTCTGGGTCAGTACTAGGTTCAGGGTCCGGGGTCAGGGGTCAGTTTTATCCATGGGTTGTAGCAGTTTCTCTGGTTTCGCAGATGTTAAAGTTCGTTTGGAGCCAAAAGTTTAAACGTGAAGCGCGCGCGCGGCCGTTACCTGCAGCTGTGCACGAGGCGCGTTCGCAAGCAGCGGAAAATCGTCGGAAAATTATTTTTTTAAATACAAGATTTTATGACACATGTGAGCTGTTAAATGTTTTAACGTCATCTGTCAGTTTATGGAAAATCATGAAACTCGATGGATTAAACCCAGAAATATATATTTGTATAAAGAGAAGACATTGAAAGTCTCATGCTGGGTTGCACCATACGTTGCACCTGACGTCACGCGGCAGCGCGAGAGTGCTCCGAGGGACAACATGTAAATCTCTCCGTTGAGAACAATGTAAAAATTCACTGATACAGTTGTGGCAACTGCACATATCAAGAGAACTTATGGAGTCTCTATTCCGCTAACATTTATTTCACTAACGGGTTTTGATTTTTAGGAAAATGCCTAATAAGGAACGGAAGAAATGCGTTAGCATTAGCATTAGCCTGCGTTGCATCTGCGGCCGCAGACACAGCTGACAGTCTGCAGTCTTTTCTTTGCTGACTTTCATAGATACAATGCAGTATTTTTGTGTAGTATACGGTTGTAGTAACTGAGGGAACAGAAAGAAAGAACTGTTAAATACAATGCCAAAAGTTGTCTCAAACCAACATGTGTAACAAAGCAAATGGTAGGCTTTACAATCAGTCTTCTCACATATATTCTAGCCATTGTGTTACATGAGTCATTGTTCATCGTTTTTTCCACGACTGGGACGGTGAGGACCAGCGTCTGGGACTGTGAGGACCAGGGTAATGTCTGAAGTTGTATCCAAGCTCCGTGCCCCCAGGATGGCTGCGTTCGTTGTATCGGCTGTTAGCTTACTGCTGTTAGCTTAACCCCCCCGGAGCATAACAAATCACCGAAATGACAATAAGGAGTCATATTTCTCACCTCAAATGTTGTTAAAAGTATAATTTGTGCCCTATTAAAGTGATAGTCTGTAACTCTAAATGAATTACAAATTTTAGGAAATGTGTTAAATTGACCTCCTGGCCTTAAATGTTGATATAAAATAAGTCAGAATCCACGATGCCGTCGAGGTTAACCAATAGAGTCATGCCAAGGGTTGTCAATCATCGGCGCTGATGCTCGTAGCTGCGCGCATGCTCAGTTTGTTTTCACGGAGCCTCCGAATCAAGCCTCTATTAGGCTCTGGAACTACATGAAAACTGAACAAAGAATTCTGAACATCTGCGCTGAGGTACTTATGTATATACTGAACCTATATCCATAATCAGATCCTCTGCAGATGTGTCCTATAATGTGCAATTCATGATAATAGCTTGTTCCGGGTTTGCCGCGATCGCTTTTTTTTTTGTACATTAAAACATTTTTTTCATTTAAACGTTAACAAATCATTCTGAAAACCTCTGTGTATGTGTATTAATAATGTATAAGAATATTGTGTTCTCTGATTAACATTTAAATGTGTTACGGAAACGTAGGTGTAGACCAATCAGAAAGGAAGGGGGAGGGAGCTTGCGTCGTTTTTTTCAAATCAAGTACCTCTCTCTTTCTGACAAACTCTCTCATCTCAGACGTGGTTCTGTTGATACAAGAGTGACGAGCTCTACTGTCGTCACTATAAAAGCTGCTTAATCTTTGTCATTGTTGAAAAAAAATGGACTCATTCAAACTACAAGGCGTACGCTGCATTGAAAATAGTTTTCACTCAAATTAAGAGTGATACTAAGCCGCAAAATAATGCTAATAAGTCTCCATTCCTCCGCTGTATAATATCACTTACATTCTGTAACGTCTTTGTTTATGCTGTCTCTACCATCGATAATAAAACATGTCTTCTGTCTGAATTAAAGACACGATCCTAGACTGTCATTTTCTTCACTTTAGATTCTAATTCTCGAGATCGATACATTGTAAAAGTCAAATTGTGTAACGGTATAGATCCTAATGCGTAATCGGAGTATAATTTGATTTGCGAGTTAGAAAAAAAACTCAGCCAGTTCAGTTCCTGGATATCTCAAACTATCTAGTGTTACGATCAAGCTTTTGCACAGCTAAACAAATGAAGGTTTGGAAAAAGATGGATGCTGCAACTTTTCCATCTGTCTGTGGGTTAAGCCTAGCGTACATCGACAGAGAAACTGGAGACAACTAGTTGCAAGGCGGCTTTTGGCGACTGAGAGGAGATGATGGAGATGATCAGTTGCCGAAATCGGTCGATGTGCGCGCTCTTACAACTGGAGATGATCAGTCGGTCTCCAGTTTCAGTCAGTTGCCCGTGTTCTACTTTTCGGCAACTAGTTGTCCTCAGTTTCGGAGATATGACCCGATGTGCGCGCTCCATGCGCCGCTCCGACAACGTGTGTGTATTGCGTGTATTGCGAGCCCGCAACAGTTTATGTCAGAAAACACACTGTAGTTGAGGCCAGTTGCTGTCGATGTACGCGCTGTTATTCCCGAGACTGGTCTGCTGCAGGGAGTTGTCCGTTTTCGTCAGATTGTCGATGTGTGCGGGGCAGCAACTCATATGCGACGGATATAATCAGTTGCCAGTCCGATGTACGCTAGGCAAAGAGTTAAGGTCCAGAACATGGATCTATTATATTAACGGGTCCAGAAGGACAAATCCTGCATCGTAAAGAGTGGTGTAAGTAATGATTGGTGTATGTGTCACAGGTTTAAAAGAGAGTCTGTTGAGGGGGGTGTGATCAATAAAAAGCAAGAGGATAAAATTTAATAAAATATTTACAAAAGGTCCATTAAAAAAAGATGATAAAAGCCTAGAGTCGCTCGTCCGTTCCCACTGGCCTCCGCTCTTCTCTCCCGGGACCGGGCCGCAGTCCCGCCAGCCACTCGCCGACCACAGGTCGCCACCGGGCACCCGCGGGGAGAGCCGGCACATCCCGGTCTTCAGTGGGGGTCGGCACTAGATCATATACGGAAGCGGAAGTTAATATAACAAACTACCTATTAATGCCTAAACTTAACCAGCTATTCCCATAGAATAAGTCCAACCCACCCTTAACCCTAACCTTAACCATCTTACTCAGACGCCTAAAACTTAACCAGTCACCATTTAAGGACTTATTAGTCTAAAACTAATTCGAAAGTAGGATTGTTACTTCCGGTTTCGTCCCGATTCTGTATATGATCTAGTGCCAACCCTTCAGTGGGCCTAGCCCGGGCGCGCACACGCCTTCTGTGCTGTCAATGCGCGCCCCCTCACCAGTGCCGCTCCCCCCGCTGGCCTCAGTCCCCCGTGGTCTCTGACTGGCGGTGCTCGTGCTCGTCCTTGGCCCGGTCCCGTGTCCTCCTCCTCTGGTCTCCGCACTCTCTGTCTCTCCTCTCTCGTGCTCTTCTTCTTCTTCTTTGGGTTCTTACGGCGGTTGGCAGCCAACTAGTGGAGCATTACCGCCACCTTCTGTTACTGAGTGGGTCAGACAATAGGCTCACAATCTAAAACCCAAACCATAGACTTTGAGTCTATGGTTCCAACAAGGGAACAGTTTTTTTAATACTGCTAAAAAAAAACACCTAACACCCTATGCTTCTAACATAACCTATATCCTCTCATACACTCCAGTTTCCTTTAAAAATGCCAACAACACTCCTACTTGTGCCCTACTGCCTTTCTCTAGAATACTCTTAAGATCGAGTTGTCCCATTCCTAGCTCCTTTAAACGCTCTTTCAGGACTTCCCTATAGACGCTGTAACCCCGACACCTCATAACCACATGCTCCACTGATTCTTCTTCCTCCTGACACACCTCACACATCCCTGTCCTATGTTTCCCTATAAGACACAAAGTCTTATTAAGTGCACTGTGACCAATTCTTAATCTTGTGACCACAACTTCATCCCTTCTATTACCCCCATGAAACCTGCCACCTCTCACCTCTTTCTTTATCTGGTACAAATGTCTCCCAGTGACCCCTGTATCCCAGCGTTTCTGCCACTCCAGAGCCACCTGCCTCCACATCACACTTTTCGCTTCAGATTTGCTGCTTTTCACTGTCAGCTCAACACTGTTCTTTTTTAACGCTTCCTTGGCCATTTTATCTGCCTGCTCATTTCCAGGGATCCCACTGTGCGCAGGTACCCATAGGAACTGCACACTACTCCCTTGCTGTTGAATTTTGGTAACTGTCATCAATATATTGCACAAAATGTCTTGACGGGAGCTAGAGTTAAGCGACTGGATACTGGAGAGGACTGAAGCTGAATCTGAACAGATCAAGACCCTGTTTTGCTTGGTTAGCTCTACCCACCATAATGCCACCAATATTGCCACCATCTCCACCGTGTACACGCTCAAACCATCAGATTTCGTCTGTTATTGTCTGTTGATATTAATGTTCTTTTCTGGGATTGACACACCAAGACCTGTCACTCCTGTTTCTGGGTCTTTAGCGCCATCTGGGAATACATGAACATACTTTGAATACAATTCCTGGACACGATGAAAAAAGGCTTCAACAAGATCAACTTTTCTTTTCTCCTTTTTCTTCACTTTTAGTAAAAACCAGTCAGCACCTGGACATACTAACTGCCATGGAGGCACCGCTGAGAACACTAAGGCTGCACTAATCCGCAGGTTGAAGACGCTGCACTCTGTAGCCAAATGGTTTCCTATTTTGCCAAAATGATTTTTCTGACCTTTCCCATACTCAGCATTCCCTGAGCACCTGTTTAGTAGGATGGGACTCTCCATGGCTTTCCAAATGCAACCAGTAATTTACCATGATTGGTTTTCTTCTCAGATCCAGCGGCATTTCTCCCATTTCCACTTGCAAGGCATTTATTGGCGAGGTTTAAATGCACCACAGCACACT